CCTCTGGCCTCAAGTAATTTAAAAAAAACCTCTCTGCTCCCTCTTTCTTGATTCTTCTGCACATAGGAGTCACACTGCCCAGGTGTAGCAAACTGAGGACTAATGGAGGAAGTCTGGTGGAGGACACGGGAGAATAAGTTGTTGTTGGCTAGAAAGGATGTTCTAATCTTTTCCACTTAAACCAGAAAGGAATGAGGTGAGGCTTAAGCTAGGGTGAGGATATAAATGTTAGTAATCTTTCTTAAAATTTCTTTTTAGTTAAAAAATAAAGTGTACAGCCGAAACCGGTTTGGCGCAGTGGTAGAGCGTCAGCCTGCAGACTGAAAGGTCCCGGGTTCGATTCCGGTCAAGGGCATGTACATTAGTTGCGGGCACATCCCTGGTAGGGGGTGTGCAAAAGGCAGCTGGTCGATGTTTCTCTCTCATTGACATTTCTAGTTCTCTATCTCTCTCCCTTCTGCTCTGTAAAAAATCAATAAAATATATTTTTTAATAAAAAAATAAAGTGTACAATTTTATATTGGTTATATCAGTTCCAGGTGTGCAATATAAGGCTTTAACATTTTTATACCTTACAATGTGATTATACCACTAATTAAATGTGTGTTTTTAAAAACAAAAAACAAAAGCACAACTTTAATAAACTGAATGCCTAAATTCAAAGCACTTGTTTAGGTTGTTTATCCATTGCTTTATTGTCCCGGTGAAAATTTACCAACTTACTTCAAATTGCTAAATAGATGCTAAAGATTTAACTATGAACAGGTAGATATAGTTCCTACCTTTATTCAACTTGAATAAACAGGCAATGAATGACAAAAGTCAGTGCCACAAGGTAACCCAGGGGAACATGCATGGCACTAAGGAAGCACAAAGCAGGGTACTTAATGAAGCTTTGAGGATAGGTAAGGCTTCTGGAAGAATTTACCTTGACAATGACACCTGCAGCATACGTAAGAGATAAGTGGGAGGCCTTTATGGGAGTGGAGGGAGGGGCGCAATGGAAAGATATGTACACATATACCTTAATAAAAAAAAATTTTTTAAAGATACCTAGTACTAAGAGAGAGAGAGAGAGAGAGAGAGAGAGAGAGAGAGAGAGAGAGAGAGAGAGAGAGAGAGAGAGAGGTGGGACTCCGGGGAGGAAACACCCTTCTTGGTGCACAGAAGAGGTGGAACCAGGAATCATGGGGATCTTTCAGGACCGAACACCTCCTTAGGCATTCTTAGATGCCGCGGGCAGCCTTGATTTAAGAGTTTCATAATCAAACATACCTGCTGTGTATCAAAATGTCACTATGAAGAACATAAAGGAGTGGAGCAGGCAGTCAGAGTAGTTACTTGCGCGGCTCATACAAAGAGATTAGGTAGCAGGCTGGCTTAGGGGATGGGAAAAGAGCGATGTTTGGACGTGAGAGATACTTAGAACTGACAGGACTGCGTGACTGACTGGACATTGACACGGTAAGGGAGAACACAGAATCAATCCATCAGAAAGATTCCCAATGGACAACTGGGTGGAAGCTGGTGCCATTTCCCGCCGGTTAAAGAGCCATGGGTAGCCGAAACCGGTTTGGCTCAGTGGGTAGAGCGTTAGCCTGCGGACTGAAAGGTCCCAGGTTCAAGTCCAATCAAGGGCTTGTACCTGGGTTGCGGAAACATCCCCAGTAGGGAGTGTGCAAGAGGAAGCTGATCGATGTTTCTCTCTCATTGATCTTTCTAGCTCTCTATCCCTCTCTCTTCCTCTCTGCAAAAAATAATAATAATATTAATAATAATAAATAAAAATTTAAAAAAATCAATAAAATATTTTTTTTAAATAATTTAAAAAGAGCCATGGGTAGCCGGGTAAAGAGAAAGGTAACCCGCAGCTGGATATTTCAGGAATCTGCAACTTCCCCCAATCATATCTTGTGAATCCAAAATGTGCTCCCTATTGTTCTCCCTAAAAGCTGCCTCCCTCCGGGCAGCAGTTGGATGCCCGTGCGGGCAGCCACACCAGGAGAGTCTTCTCACCAGAGGGAACCCTAGAGCACAACCTCGAAGACCGGGACACAGCAAACCTAAAGTTAAAACCGGAAGCTCCCAGACCCTAACCTACCCGCCCTTCACAGGTCTGGGAGCGGCTCCGCCCCCAGAAGCCAACAACTCAGGAGCAGAAAAGTGCCGGCGGCAGGTCCACCGGCCTGACAGCCGGCTCCGCCCTCCCGGGACTGGGACAGCGGATGCCCGGATGTGGAAGCTTGACGACAGTGCGTCACGTGGGGACTCCCGGGGGGGGCGGGGCTCTGCCTGCGTCGGGGAACGCGCCGCCGCCTCACGTGACCGCCCCCAGCCAGCCAGCCAATGGGTGAGAGCCGATGCGAATTTCGAATGTGGTTGCGGCAGTCGGCGGGTGCGGGAGACGGGGCGGGCGGCCCGGGAGCTCAGGGCTCGCTCCGCCGGGTTCTGTCGCGGAGCCTTGGGATGTGAGGAGGCAGACGGACGCGGCTGAAGTGGCGGCCCAGGTACGGCTGCGGGCGAACCTGGGGGAGGCGGGTCTCCGGGCCCTTTCCCCGGCGGGCGCGCCCACCCCCTGCCCGCTGGCTTTCCGGGGGAAGGAGGCCGCACGCCGTTCGGATGTGGATCAGAGAGAGGCGCCGCGACCCGTTACCCTTCCCGCTGGGTCTCTCTGTCGTTCTCAGTTCGGTGTCCAAAACCTGAGGCTGTGGCATCGGACTAACCGGGTGCTTTTGTCCTGCCAACCTGACTCACGCTTCCCGAGGATCCACTTTCCTCTCCCGTTCAATAAACGGGGTCGGAACCCCCTGCCCTGTGGCATGGTGTGAGCTAAGCGATGTGTGAACAAAACCTTTTCAGTGGCTGAGAGCCGGGCCGCTCTGTGGTGTGCTTTTGCTTGTCCCGCTGTCCTGCCTGCTGCCCCGGCGGCAGAAACGATGGATGGAGGGATTGGGGCGCAGGTCCAATGTTCTGCGTTCTTTTCGGAATCCAGATCCCTTACCAACACCGATCGCGGCTGTCATCCGCGCCGTGACCTGTTTGTTTTCATTCATTCATTCATTCATTCATTCATTCATTCTGCCACACTCCCTGCTAGTGCCATCATCAGCCTAGACAGGAAATAAAACTGACACGACAATGTTTTATGATTTTAAGTTGACTAAATTTGATAAAAGGTTGTTGTTGTTGTTGTTGCTGTTGTTGTTTTTTTTTTGGGGGGGGGGGTAAGATAACACGTGGTTTTTAAAATACCTTAACTAAACTAACATGGTCGATTACTTAATCTGTAACCAAACATCTCCAGTTCCAACTTCAAAAACTACATTGTGGTACCATATGTTATACAACCTACTTAACATAAGTGCTTTATAAAATAGTTGTGCTTTCTCTACTGGGGACATGCCAGTGTATATTTTATTGATGACGGCGGAAAGGAAATATTTAAGTGACATCTACAAAATCTACACCTAGGACTCCAGACAATGCAAAGGAGAAAATAAGGCCTGGTGAAAAATCCTCCAGAAAAATCTAAGTTTCAGGAGTGGATTTGACTAAGGAGATGAAGATAGTAGCCTTTGTAGTGAAATTGTTTGCATAGATTGTTGTAGAAAAGAACTTTTTTTTTTTCCAATCTTAATATCTGCACAGGTGCAATCTAAGGCAAAAGATGTTCATGGGAAACAGTGTGACAAGCTTAGTAGCAGAATCCTAAAGCCTACCTGGTTTGCCTCATTAAGTATACTTATGTATTAAAATACTCAATAGCATATTCCACTGTCAATGCATGTTTTGCTAATTTCTTGTTTGCTATATTCAGAATGTACTGGGAATTAGCAAGCCTGAGTTTTTGGAAAACACTGACATGTTTCTGTGCATCCATTCCTGCTGGTTCTAGCTCTATCACTGTTATCATAGCCTATTAAAATTGTACATAGTGCTGCATAGTTTAAACCTCAGAAGATCACAGGCATTAGTGAGAGTGTATACATATCTAATGTAATACTGAGTTAAACGAATGTGGAAAAGAAAGAATTAATCAAGTGACCTAATCTGATAAATAATAGAAAAAAAACTGGAAAATGAAGCCCAGATATATGATTGCCTCTCATCTAATGCTGTAAGCCTAATAAACACTAAAAGTTGGTCATAGGTATTGCTAGTAGGAGACATAAATAATAATGGCATCAAAATATAATATTAGCTGAAACCGGTTTAGCTCAGTGGATAGATCGTAAGCCTGCGGAATGAAGGATCCCGGCTTTGATTCCGGTCAAGGGCACGTACCTGGGTTATGGGCACATCCCCAGTAGGAGGTGTGCAGGAGGCAGGTGATCGATGTTTCTAACTCTCTATCCCTCTCCCTTCCTCTCTGTATAAAAATCAATAATATATATATATATATATATATATATATATATATATATATATATATATATATATAATATTAAGCCCTAACCAGTTTGGCTCAGTGGATAGAGCATCAGCTTGAGGGCTGAAAGGTCCAAGGTTAGATTCTGGTCAAGGGCATGCCTTGGTTGCAGGCACATCCCCAGTAGGAGGTGTGCAGGAAGCATCTAATTGATGTTTCTAACTATCCCTCTTTATTCCTCTCTGTAAAAAATCAATTATATATATATATATACAATTATTATTAGGCATTTCCTATAGCACCTACAATATGGTAAGCCCCCAATGAGTATTTGTTAAAGAGTAAATAAATGGCATATTACAGTCTTTGGGTTGGAAATCCATATTTATTAAACCTTCCCTATAAAGAATTCGAAGAGGATAATATGCCAAACATATCAACAAGATGTAAAAAGCTGCAAAATCTAGGTTATTACCAGGTTTAGCTATGTACTTTGAGCTAATTCTTAAGCTACTAAGTCTCTGTTTAAACATTCTTTATGAATAGCCTCTACTTTCAAGTTTGCTTTATATTTGATGATAATATATTTTTTAAAGTGAAATATTTTTTATTTTAAATTCCTAGGCAGAAGATGGCCAAGGAAAGGAACCTCAAAAAGTCCTTTCAAGATAGTCTTGAAGAAATAAAGAAACGAATGAAAGAGAAAAGGAATAAAAACTTGGCAGAGATTGGCAAACGAAAGTCTTTTGTAGTTGCACCGTGTCAAATAATCAGTAAGCTTTTCATGCTGTTCTTTTGCATCACTTTTTAAGTTTAAATTTAATAACTAATAAAAAAATTTATCTCTTTTAGCCAACACTTCTACACTGCTAAAAAACTACCAAGACAACAACAAGATGTTAGTATTAGCTTTGGAAAATGAAAAATCCAAAGTGAGAGAAGCCCAAGACATCATCCTACAGCTGAGAAAAGAATGTTACTTCCTCACATATCAGTTATACGCACTGAAAGAAAAACTTGCTTCACAACAAACAGAAGAACCTGCTCAGGTATTTTCATTACAAAGGCTGAATCTCTTAGGGAAACAGTAAAGCTATGAATTAGTAGTTTAAATCACTTACGCTATTTAAATTAATTACTGATAACTGTGAATCGGTTCTATAAATCTTAGCTTTTCTATGTAGTTTTGCTACATCTAGTGGGGTTTTATAAAAACTTATGTTCTGCCGAAACCGGTTTTGCTTGGCTCAGTGGATAGAGTGTCGGCCTGCGGATTAAAGGGTCCGGGTTTGATTCCGGTCAAGGGCATGTACCTTGGTTGCAGGCACATCTCCAGTGGGGGGTGTGCAAGAGGCAGCTGATAGATGATTCTCTCTCATCCATGTTTCTAACTCTCTATCCCTCTCTCTTCCTCTCTGTACTCCCATAGCTTTAAATACTGCCTATCTGTTAATAACTTTCAAATTTGTAGCTCAAGACCTACACATACACAACACAACTATTTAACATAGCCACTTAAATATTTATTAAGGATTTCAAACATATTTTGTAGGAAACAAAACTCTTTATTTCCCACCCTACCAAAGATATTCTGTACTTCTACCTCCCTCCATAAGTCATGCATCCCAATAAAACACCTTCCCCATTTGTTCAGCTCAAAACCTTCCACTTGGCTTTACCTCCCTAGCCTCAGAATTCCAGTCCTGGCCAATATCATATCTTGTTTCGTTTACTACGACTTCTTAACTCCTTGGCCCATTTCAATCCATGTTTCACACAGTGGCCAAGCTGTTCTTTTTGTTGTTGTTAATCCTCACTCGAGAATATGTTTCCATTGATTTTTAGAGAGAGGGAGGGAGGGAGAGAAACATCAATGTGAGAGAATGCCCTGAACAGGGCCTGGGATCGAGCCTGCAACCGAAGTACATGGCCTTAACTGGAATTGAACCTGAAACCCTTCAGTCCTCTGGCCAGTGCTCTACCACTGAGGAGGGAAGTACAGTGACCCGGGTTTTAAAAAGATTAGTCTTACCCTGCTTAACATTTAAGTTCTCTTCCCACATAGACTAAAATTTAAATTCATGGCTCTCAGAGCCCTGTATTATTTGGCCTCTGCATGCACATCTGCTTTTCTTCTCAGTGTCTGTGTCCCAGCCACAGTGGTTTTTTTCTAAACACAAGGGTTTTTTTTGTATTATCATGATTTTTGTATTTGCTGTTTCCATGGCTTTCTCTTCCCCCTGCTCTTTCAATGGCTGGCTCCTTTGCATTCTTCAGATTTCAGATGAAAGTCACCCTATCTAAAAGAGCACTCTACCTCAATTACTCTCTGTCACTTCACTATTTCCTTTGTAGCATTTAACACACTGAAAATATTTATATATCTGTCTTTTTAAGAAATTTTCCCTACATTAGAATGTAAGTTTTAAGAGGATAGAACTAAAAAATGTTTAGACCCATTTTCTGGAACAGAACCTGGCACCATGATAGACAATAAGTGTTTGTTGTGTGTGTGTGTGTTGTTGTTGTTGTTGTTGTTAATATATTTTTATTGACTTAGGAGATTAAGGGAGAGGGAGAGAGAGAGAGATATAAACATCAATGAGAGAATCAAGCCTGCAGTCAGGCATGTGCTGTTGATCAGAATCTAACCGGGGACCCTTCAGTTCGCAGACAGATGCTCTATCCATTGAGCCAAACCAGCTAGAAAAATAAGTTTATTTTTTAATAAATTAATACTTTGTGATGAATATTTGAGTTTTACTAATGTTTTCTTTCTTTTAATACATTCACAGAACCATGAAGTAAGTTCTTCTGGAATGAACTCCAATGATGACAACTCTGGGGATTTATTTGTGAAGGATTTACCGTTAGTATCAAATTCATTGTTATAATTATTGATATCAAAAGAGATGTAATTCTATGATCCATTTATGGAAGGAAATTTGCATCATATTGAGCCCTATTTTAAGCCTCATGAGCTCTCCACTGAGCTATAGTTAAAGAAAAGTTGATGTGTTAAAGTTCTGTTATAGCCAAACCAAATCTTTCTTATAGTTATTTTTATGTCTAAGAATAAGAAGCTTTTCTAGAATTATTAAATTATTCCCTTCAGTTGTATTTTTCTTATGCCAAATTTTTATTCTATTATAAGAAGGATTGGTTACTCAAATGATGGTATTTTGCTACCATGTTTCCCCGAAAATAAGACATCTTCCGAAAATAAGACCTAGCATATGGAAAGATAAGACATCCCCTGAAAATAAGACCTAGCACAACTTTTGGAGAAAAAAATTAATATAAGACACTGTCTTATTTTCGGGGAAACAGGGTAGTACTATAGATAAGTCTGTATTAGAAAAGTAATATAATAAAATACTGTCACATTGCCTTGCTAAACCAACTTATTCCTAAATACAATCAGATCCCATATACTCTCTTACCTTTCTCTTGAATCAAGTATACTTTGTTTATGAATTATTGAGATATAATTACAGTAAAATGCACAGTTGATAATTATACAGTTCAGTGAGTTTGACTAATGTATAGTCAAACCAAAATCTCAATTAAGATATGATAATTATACAGTTCAGTGAGTTTGACTAATGTATAGTCAAACCAAAATCTCAATTAAGATATAGCTCTAGCCAGTTTGGCTCAGTGGATAGAGTGTCGGCCTATGGACTGAAGGGTCCCAGGTTTGATTCTGGTCAAAGGCATGTGCCTTGGTTGCAGGTTCCTTCCTGGCCAAGGCCCTGGTTGGGGCTCATGCAGGAGGCAACCAATCGATGTTTTTCTCTCGCATCGATATTTCTCTCTGTCTTTTCTCTTTCTTCAACTCTCTCTAAAAATCAATGGAAAAATATCCTCGGGTGAGGATTTTAAAAAAAAGAGAGAGAGAGAGAGAGTGTGTGTGCCTGTAACTCCAACCTGGAGTTTCTCAGTCTTAGCACTATTGACATTTGGGCCAGGTCGTTCTTTGTTTTAGAGAGCTGTACTAAGCATTCAGAGGTATTCAACAACCTCCTTGGCCTCTATCCACTAAATGCCAGTAGCATTCCTCTTCCTTAGTTATGAGAACCAAAAATGTCTACAGACATTGGCAAACATCACCTAGGGGGTCATAATTGTCCTCAAGTGGGAACTACTGCCATAGCCATTTATTTCTTTATATCCCTTTTGAATCCATGTCCCAGTCCTCAAAGAGATCATCACTAATATGATTTCTATCCCCATATTAATTTTAATAATTCTAAAACTGCTGAACTTTAAATCTGACAAAATATTCATGTAATGGGCAAAAAGTAAAATGAGATAATTTAAGATTATCTAAAATAAGATAATTTTAAGATTTTTGAAATTGTTACTAGTTTGTTACCATAACTCTGTTGCCTAAACCACTATTTAATTTTTTATATCTAGAGGTGAAAAAAAAATTCTCCACAGTAAATAAAAAACAAAGTTATATATAATTAAAATGAAATAACCAGTATTAGAACATAAAGAAAATTATTTTTCCATGCACCAAAGAGGGACAAGATTTTTTTTTTTTTAATGAACAGTGCTAACTTCAGAGTAATCAGTAGTTAAGCATCATAAAAGCCGGTATTACCAAAAAACTCAGCTAATGATAAAGCAGGCTCCTCAAGAGTTAAGTAATCAAATTACGTTTCTTTGGTATATTTTATAAGTCAATTCTGATTGGCTGTTTCTCCAGTTAAATGAAATTATGACTTATGTCATGTTTTAAGGACGAACTGTCCAATTTAATATGTTAGTTAATCCAGTAAGAATTGAATTTCAGTCATTACAAATCAGCCTCCATGTAATCAGTACAAAGGTTGTTTGGTTTTCTTTGATGTAGAATAGATGTACTGACTTAGAATGGAATTATGAAATAATACTAAAGAAAATATATTTTAATTTCCAGAAAATCTTAAGCTTATTTTTATTTCATAATTGTTAATTAAATTTCTATTTTTCAATGGTATTTCTAAGGCAAGCTCCTCTTCAGGAAGATCACCTTCCAGAACAAGGGGAATCATTCCAAATAGAAGGTAATTCAAGTGAAAATCTGAAAATATGATGTGAAGGATAAGATGAGGTCTTTGAGAAAAAATAACATAATTAAATTTCTCTAATTTTCCTTTTTAACTTTTTAATCTTTTCACTTGATATTCTTCTGCTTAAAGCATATCTGTTTATTTTACAAAGTTTTAAATTATATCCATTTATTTTTCCAAATCTGTAATTAGAAACCTTAGCTATAACTATGGCTGCAATTTCCTGAACTGACAACATGTTAAGATCTGTGTTAGCATTTTATATATATTGACTCAATTAACCCTCACAACCACCTTGCAATATAGGTACTCTCAGTCCCATATTATATAAACTCAACAAAGTAACCCAGATGGTCAGAATCAAGCTTTAAACTCAAAGCTAACCTCCAAAGCCATGCCCTTCTTTCTACTTTTAAATCAATGTGTTCCTATACTATACTGAACTAAGTTCTGAAGAAGGGAAAGCATTTGAATAAGCAGCTCTAAATTTTTCCATTTTAAAATACAAATTATATTTTCTACCTGAAATGCTTTCCAGTTATTCCTATTTTTCTCATTTTTCAACTAATAACTAACTTAGTTTTCACTTTCTTGGTGTATTTGTCCTACTTTGGAATATGAGATTCCTTTTCTCTCAATCCTATACACATAGATACATGTAAACTACTAGTTATTCTTTAAATGAGGAGCACATAAAACCAAGTTAGAATATTTTTGAAGATTATATAAGATTCTTCCACAGATGAGATATAAGATATCAATTGATCACTGCCAAATAAATGGATGGTAATACTAAGCTCTCTACATTTTTATTTACTTACTAGAGGCCTGGTGCATGAAATTCATGCATGGGGTGGGTTCCCTCAGCCCAGCCTGGACCCTCTCCAATTCGGGACCCCTCAGGGGATTGTCTGATTGCCAGTTTAGGCGCATTCATAGGGATGGGGCCTAAACCAGCAGTTGGACATCCCTCTCAAAATCCTAGACTGCTGGCTCCTAATTACTTACCTGTCTGCCTTTCTGGTCACCCCTAAGTCTCCCCGCACCCTCCCCTCACCAACCTGGTTGCCCCACGCAGCCTGCTTGTTCAGTCATTTGGTCATCCCTCACTAACCCCCCTGCCAGTCTGGTCATAGGCTGCCATATTGTGAGGGCATGACGGTCAATTTGCTTATTACCTCGTTATTATATAGCATTAGTGGCTTGATGCACAAAATCCATGTAAGAGGCTCCACCCTCATAGCCCCAGCATTGTCCAGAAGATCATTTGATTGTCCGGTCTAATTAGCATATTATATTTTTATTATTATAGATAGTAAATGTGGAGAAACTATAGAATAATTTCACTTACTCCATTTTTAACTTTGAATTCTAAAATCCTTGGAATTAAAATTTCCATAAAGTAAAACTATTTTTCTCATTTGTTTTTTTTTTTTCATTTGTTTTTTTAAATTCTCAGAGCAAATATCTACTATTCCTCAAGACAGGCTGGGATTTGATTTGGATTCAGGTGAAGATACATCTACTGATAATATCTTACCCAGAACTGTATCTCTCCGTCGCAATTTCAAGAACCATTTTAACAATTTATGCCAATTCAACACCTTGGATAATTTTGAAATCAGTCATATGTCAGAGCAGTCATCTGGTTTGGGAACAATTAGATTTGTAGACCCTCTAGTAAATCTGCACTTATCTGAAAATGTAGAACAAAATATTTGTCAGCGGAACAAGGATCAAATTAACATATCACCAGAACTGACTCACCCCGGAGGATCTGCTAAAACAAAAGAAAATATTTTAGAGTATAAATCTGAGCAAACTAAAAATAAGCATAGGGATGCACAAAGAAGAAAACGAGGAGAGAAAAGAAAAGCTGTTAGAAGGAGAAGATCAAAATATGTATGTAAGTATAAAGGAACTATCAGTAAAAATAAAAAACCTGTTTCCAAGAAAAAGGTGGATGATTTTATGACTTCCAACGATGCTTACAATTTTAATTTGGAAGAAGGTGTTCATCCTTCTCCTTTCCGACAAAAAGCGAGCAATGATTCTAAAAGAGAAGAAGTTACCAATGTATCTGAAGTGAGCAGCTATGAATCAAGCACTTCAGAAGATGACTCTGATGACCTCTATTTGCCCACTTGCAAAGACAGTCCAAATCTCACCAGCCAATCAGATGGGAGCCCAGTCACCAGGCCTCCGTCTAAAAGAGCACTAAGATGTAGGGATGAAAAAGAGATGGAGAGTTCTCAGCCAACAAAAACTCCTACCGGTAAGTGATCTACTTGTTTGCCTGCATTTTTAATGTTTATGATAAATGATCACTCCTGATGCTTACATACTATACTTACCATCTGTTTCTCTGGGGGAGGTTAGAGACTTGCCATCTGTCCCTTTGGGAGAAATAACAGTTTGATCAAATAATGAAGGGTCTAGGGTGGAAATCACAGTAATATTGCTCTGAACTGCTTTAAGGTACTTTAGGTCCTCTCTAAGAACAAAATATGGGGGGGGAGGGGAAGTAGAAGAGGGTAAAATGGGGAATAAATGGTGACCAAAGGAGACTTGACTTTGGGTGGTGAACACACAATATAATATACAGATGATGTACCATACAATTATTAATAAACACTTAAAACCTGTATAATTTTATTAACCAATGACACCCCAATAAATTAAAGTAAAAAATTTTAATTAAAAGAACAAATACTTCTTGTTGTGGAGGAAGCATTTTTACTTTTAGTAAATGAAGCTTTTCAAGACAGGAAAAACTTTTTGTGGAGTTAGGTTGAATTAAAATACCTTTCATAAACTCACCTGAAACACCTCTTGAAAATAAAATCAACTTAAATCCAGTGACCTATCATTTTAATGGCTGTACTTTATATTCAATTTGACAGTAACTATGATTTTAAATAATTTTCTAATTAGTGAATATGGCCTATTAAGACAAAAAAACTATTCCCTCAAATGACGGGCCTAGTATTCTTTTGTAAGATACTTGTAAGACATCTCAAAACTGGTTCAGAAGATCTTGCTTTTGTTAGATCAAAAGTCAGCATGATTTAGAGGTTGAGGATATAGCCAGCACCTACCCATAAAGATTCTCATCTGGGAATTTTAGTAAGTTTGGAAAAAATAACATACACAGGTTTTATCATTCTCAAATTTGATCCTAAGAACAACTCTGTGAAGTAAAGGTGTAATCATGTTTGTTTGTAAGGAAACCAGAGCCTAAGAGTTCAGTGACTTTCCAAGGCCAACCAGTTAGGTGGGATAGCATGTGAATATCTTTTTTTAAAATACAGTGTGATGATGCTAGAGCCAATCAAACAATTTTGGCAAAATGTTGATAATTATTGAAGCTGGAGAACTGTTGCTTCATTATACTATTGTCTCCATCTTTGTATACATGTACAAATTTCCCTAAGTTTTTAAAAGAAAACATGTATATTCTAAATAGTGTTACTCAGGGTGTGGTCCCTAGACCTTCAGCATGAGGGTTACCTGGAAATTTGTTATAATTACAGAATTTCAGGCCATATTCCTTAATCTTCAATCAGAATCTGCATCTTTTTAAAAAAGTAGCTGGCCGGTTAGCTCAGTTGGTTAGAGCGTGGTGCTAAAAAAGTTCCCTGGGGAATTTGTGTATACATTAAACTTTCCAGAATATAACAGTTTATCTCATGTTTTTACCTAACCATATTTTCCAAACTGAAAATTAGAATAATTACTGTGGTACAGTATGCTCATGTGGGGACCAAAAAAAAGGATATTTGAAACCAAGATAACCCTGGAGAACAGGGTTACTAAGGCACAATGTAGTTAGTCTTTCTTGGAAAATGATTTGCTTTTTAAAGCTATTTGAAGAGATTGTTTTGCTGTGTGCTGGGTATCTGTACCCCAATATAGTTAAGAGTTCCAAAGTAGAATAATTTGGGTACTTATGATAGGAAAAACATTGGGTAACTCTTTAACTTACTAGCTTTACTAGAGGAAACTCCATTTCTCCTGGTTTACACAGAGGCTATGATTTCGAGTTCTCATTTACTTGAGAATGAGTTTAAATGGAATATGGGAAGCCACCTGATGATAAGCTTTGGCACTGAAAGAGATAGAGGCCTTGATGACTCTAAAGAGCAAGGTGTGACTAAAATGAAGCTCCATAGTTAATTTTCAAGAATTCCAACTTTTAATAAAACTATATCAACTCTTCACATCTACAATACTTATTTATGTCATCTGGGATGAAAACCTGATAAACAGGTTTAAAAATCTGTATTATAAAATGCTGGCTTCTATATATATTAGATATGTAATTGCAATACAATTTTATTTCCTATGGGGAGTGGGTGTGTTTGGTTTGGTTTTGTTTTGTTGGTTTTTTTGGACTCATATTCAGTAAAAGTTGTTTTTGTAGGTACAATACCTGAAACTCACCAGTCACCTCATTTTAGCCTGAAGGATATCACCAATGTCCCCTTGCATACTGAAGTGAACATGAGAAAACTTTCTCTGTCGCCACAACAGAAGCAAGCAAGCCCAGTAGGGTCTCTGCCTAAGCGGAGGTGCACAGTCAGTGTGAACTATAAGGAACCTACACTCGTTTCGTAAGTATTCAATATGTGGGAACTCACGTTTAAAAATACAGTTGGGGGGGGGGGGGAGAGATAAGGTAATAGAATTTTGTACAAGAGTGAATCTAGATATATAAAAATTTGATTAAAAAAAACTGAGATGGGAATGTTAACTCTGGCCTATTTTACAGTAACTTTATCTTGAAGAGTAAGTTAGAATTGGGTTGCTAAAGAGCTCTTTTTAATCTTTATAGGAAACTAAGAAGAGGAGACCCTTTTACAGATTTGTGTTTCTTGAATTCGCCTGTTTTTAAGCAAAAAAAGGATTCCAGACGCAGTTCCAAAAAAAAAAAAAAGTATGAAGCAAATACAGTGAAGCATTTGTTGGATGTGGTTTAAATACATCCCAAAGAGAATAGAAAAATAAATTCATCCCGCAGCCCTTCCTATTGCTCCAAGAGAGAATCCATAAGATAGCACACAAGTGAGGTGGTCTATGCCATAGAATATTCTCTGGATGGGACTCAAGATCACAAATGTTTTTTAAAACCTCCACTTCAAATGTGATCTTTTTTCTTACGCCTTTAATAGATTTGGTTTATTTTTTTATTTTAAATATAAATAACTGGACTGAAGCACTATTATAGTTAGATTTCTTATACTGCCTAACACCCATAATTTTAGTCAAAAATGTATCTTAATGCCAACATTTTGGGAATAATGATTATTCAAATAAGATATTGTAATTATAAGCTTCTGGCCCTTTTACTTTTCCCTTTAGTGGGGATTATTAGAATGACTTTTGAGAACAGGCTGAGGATCTTTTGAAACCCCTTATATAATATTTGAATAAAATAAATTCTTGATATTCACAGTAGGGTATACTCTATTGTTTGTATCTCCTTTATGCCGTTGTTGTATTTAATTTTTCAGGTAAAATTTGCATGACCTCATGACATTAATTTAAAAATAGAAATACATGGCTTTGGGGAAAATTGCTATTAGGGTGAGGGACTAGTTAAGTAACTAATTGAACCCCAAGCTAAGCTCTGGATATATATTGTTCAAAGTGGTACCTCAACAAAATCCCAAATTATTATGTCATGGACTTTCAGGATAGTTACTTATTTAGTCAACTCTGATGTTAAATGTCTGAATGTCAAGGATTTGTTTGTATTTTTTATTAATCAATGAGAGGAAATTACCTAGTTCAGTTCTGAAAGTTTGAAGCCACTGCTTGTATATACCTCTTTAAACTAGAGTGTTGTAGATTATCAATTTTTAAAGAGCAATAAAATTTGTATAATATAGTTTTTGTATTTTTCTTTTTTGTAAGATTTTTTTTTTGGGGGGGGGGGGTGTTAATCCTTACCTGAGGATATTTTTCTATTGATTTTTAGAGAGAGTGGGAAGGAGAGGGAGAGACAGAGAAATATCATTGTGAGAGAACATCATTTGGTTGTCTCCTGTATGTGCCCTGAACAGGGCCAGCAATCAAGCCTGCAACTAAAGTACGTTCCCTTGACCAGAATCAAACCCAGTCCTAGGGCTCATGTTCTATCCACTGAGCCAAACTGGCTAGGGCTGTTTTTCTTCTTTAAATATCAAAGGGTATGCATGTGGTCATCTTACTTTATAGCTTCACTGTTCTCATCTTCCTTTGACACTCCTCTTCCCACTTTGATTTTTTTTCTGTAGCCTCTACCATGAAATTCTTAGCTCCCCCACCATACTCAATATTTCTCTCAACTTTTCACTGTGGATTGATCAACAAATTCTATTTTAATGGAGGATTCTTCCAATCCTGACCTCCAATTTTCTTGACTATCTCCATACCTCTCTGCATTCTGTATCAGGCACGCCCAAATCCTTTCATCAGCCAAAATTCTTTTATTTCTGACCTCGAAAGCCATGCGCTTCTTTCTACTTCAAATTAATGACCCTGTTCTCCAATACCAGTGCTCATTGATTTGTGTGTCCCACTTTCCCATCACAATCTCTTCTCCCACCCCTCTTTATTTGTTCAACTGGTCCTTTACACCCTTTCTTTAAATTCATAAAAACTCTTGAATGGCTGTCTTAATGTAATTAAGATTAAATCCAATTTAAAATTTAATTTTTCAGTCACAGTAGCCACATTTCAAATGCTCAGTAGCCGCTTATTGGGGACAATGCAGACAGATTTCCACCACCACAGAAAGTTGTATAGGGCAATGCTCTGGGCCAGCAGTGGGCAAACAATAGCCTTTGGACCAAATACAGCCTCTGCCTGCTCTTGTATGATCTGCAAGCTAAAAAATGTCTTTTTAAATGGTTGGGGGGAAAAAATGAAATCCTGGCTATTGATTTTGGTGATAAAAACACTAAATTTGAACCCCAATGAAGTACATAAAATCTTTGATTTCACCTTTTTGGCCCGCAACCTAAAATACTTATTTTCTAGCCCTTTACTGAGAAAGTTTGCCAACTCCTGCTCAAGATATTTACTGCCTTTACTTTGATCTTTCTCTGTTAACATTTTCTGATCTAGTTCTGATCCTTCCCTTCATCTTCAAAATTATTATTCTAAATTTGGTGGTTTTGTTCTTATTATTTCTGTGTTCTTGCTATAGTGTTTATCCATAGACTGTTAAGGATTGTTTTAACAATTTACATGAATGTTATATTGTATATACCTCTTTGCAACTGACTTGTAATTCAACTGTGTGTTTGAGATTTATCCATGTTGGCAAATGTAGGTTATTTTCATTGTTGTACAGTATTTTGTTACATGAATAAATCAAACATTCTTCTGAAATATAACTGGCTTCCATTTTTTCTTTACTACACATTATTGCTTCAGGGAATGGTCTACCTGTACACGGGTAAGTGTCCATGGTGTTGATATCTAGAAGTGGCACCGCTTTCTAAAGTGGTTGTACCCATTCTGCTCACCTCAGAAGTGGATCTCTCTCCTAATAGCAGTTTAAGTTTCCAGCTTCCCCATCACTATCATTTGGTGTTACTGAACATTGAAAAATTGGCCAGACTAATAAATGTGAAATGGTTTCTGTTTTAATTACTTAAAATATTTTATTTTGTGAGAACGTGTGTTAATTGGCCATTCTCATTCTTCCTTTGAATTGCTTATATCTTTGGCCCACTAGAACATCTTTTTCTAGTAACAGTCTCTTTATATATCCTAGGTATCATTCTTTGTCTTTATTTACATGGGTTACTCCAGTTATTGGTTTATAATTTTCTTGTAATATTTTTTCTGGCTTTAGAGTTAGGGTATTTAGATTATTGTACTATCCTCATAAAATGTTTTCTGAAAAAGAACCTATTTTCTGTGTGTGTGTAAGATGATACTTTTTCCTTATTCAAAAAACTAGTGAAGCCATTTGTGCTTTAAGTTTTGTTTGGAAAAAAAGGTTTTTCATTATAAATTTAGTTTAATACAGGGATGGTTAGGTTTTATATTTTTTCTATGGTCAGTTTTGCTAATCTATCACACACAGTATTTATAATTATTAAAAATAGGAGCAGTGCTGGTACACTTACTTAAAAGCAGTCTGTGAAAAAAAAGATTTAAGTTAGAGCTTGATCACAAATTTATTATAAACCAAGTGTGTATTCTATCCAACTCTGAAACAGCCAACAGCAACCAAACCCAAGCACTTTCCTATAGCCTTTGCCTATTCAGTTGTTGGGACAGCCGATTGCTAAAAAAAAAAAAAAAAAAAAAGAGATTTCTGTCCTTACAGATTTTAAAGCATATATTAGATGTCCATCTAGTAACTGTAGAAAATGAGATATTAACAGAACAAATGAATTTTAGGAAGAGTCCAAGAACCAGGGTAACATGTAATGAAAAAGTGCACATAAGTGAACATGCATTATTTTAAGAAGGTCCTTAGCTTCCAAGTTGTCCAAGGGATTTCTTTAAAAGAACTTTAAACCTAGATAAACTAAAACTGGAACCTTTGGTTTAGCTCAGAAAATCACACACACAAACAAATTACACACGTTGTTTCTCATCTTTTTAAACTAACTGCCAAGATTATATTGTACTTCCCAATAATGAGAGAGAGCAGGAAAGTTAACTTGTTTTCTTTGCTTTTATCTGCTCTATTGAAATTATACTGCTCTTTAATAAACCCAAAGAAAATCTACAACTTCCTTTTTTCACCAAACAAAAAGATGCCCCCATGAAGAATCCAAGACATAAATATCCATAAAATGCGATGAACTTTTCATGATGCAGAGTGTCCTCACCTCCTCAGCAACTTGTTTACTTTCTTAAAGCTTATTTCTCCAAATATAAATGAAAACCTGCTTGCTTTTGTTTTTTTCTCTTTAAGTTCATTTTTTATCTCTTTACCTGTGACATTACTAACACTATGTATGCTCTGCCAATCTCCATCATATAATATCTTGTACTAACAGCATTGATACACCCAAAGGAGGTCAATAGCACCACATCACCAAGAGCCTTAAGACTCAAGCAGAACCATTGATTTCAGTCCCTGCCACAAGTGGTTGTACCCATGTCCTTACCCCCAACCACCACCCTCTACACACACCTTTTTCTGCCAGAAAATGTTTAGTCAAGAAATCTAAAAATATGTTTCAATATGCTGGGGATTATGGGGGAGAAGCCAACTTAATTACTACCTCTTGCCATCATGACTTGATATTCCAAAGTAGCTGCCTTCTTTTCTTTGGAGCTTTTACTTTGCCAAAAGGAGAATGCTAGTTAAGGGGCAGAGCAGAACAGCTCAGAACATTATGGAAAATGCCAAAGGTTGCCACTAGTAACCCTTCCTTGTGCAGTTCTTAGACTCAAGTAAACACTGAGGGTTGGTCTGAAGAGTATCGGCTTAAAGGGAATGGATGACACATTATTAACCTGTCCATTGTACCTCAGTCTGATCCTATTTCTACTTTTTAGGCTCCGTAATTACAAATTTTGCTTCCAGGTAATATGAAGACCTCAAAGTCTTCTTTTCACTACTTTCTTCTAATGAATACAACCAGTTTTTAATTGTGTATTGAATTATAAAAAAAAAAATAATAAATAAGAGCTATTTTTGACTATGAATATATGGGGTGGGGTGAGAGAGAAACTTACCTTCATTGCAGATGTTTCCTTTCCTGTAGGACATCCTTCATCCCCTGGCTTCCTCTGCTCCTCATTCATTCCTCCTTGGGAGGGTCTGACCTAACTGGTGAGCCAGAGTGAGGAACTGGGCTGGGTGGTTCTGTTCCTCCCTCACCTGCGCCTCTTCAGAACTGTTCTGCCTTCAGACAGTACCACTGCTCTTGGCCGTGTACTGGGCTTAGTGATAAAGGCCATGCCCTTGGATGGGGAAGTTGGGGGTGCAGAGCTGTTGGCAATACTTTATAAGAAATAAATGTCTACAAGATACTAAACAGTGCTTCAGTACAAAGTAGCTGCCCTCTAACGCCAGTCCAAGGTACTTGTGACATCATTCTTCATTAGAAATCTAGATGCCAGTCAAGACATTTATTTCAATGTGAGCACTCTGATTGTCTCTCTCTTTCTAGGGTTCACTATTAGAAAGTCCAGTATCCAGATACATAAGCCATATTCCCCAACATACACTTTATTATGAATAAAGATAATTTGGCAATCATATAGGCCTATGCTCTTGACTTCTCATTTCAGAATTCAGAAGGGAAGAGGGGTGCTCCTGGGTGGATCCTCATATACCCCAACAGAACACAGCGTTATTTCCTACAGTCAGCATTTTTTGGAATAGAAGCTCATATGGGAGAAACGGAAAACTCAGCTGTATTTGGTCTCTCTAATCATTCATCTGTTTCACTGATGCAAAGTAGAAGAGCTGTGGGAAATGTTTTATTTCTGAACCAGTAACTGTCTTCTTTAGCCGGGTTGTGTTTTTCCTTGTTTAATGAGTGATGGTGGGCAGAATGCAGTGGACAACTCACGAGACACAGGTAAAGCTCTCACTAATGGGCTGGAGATTTGCATGAAACTTCCCACGAATGCAATGCTTCTAAACATCTTCACAAAATGCTTAAGAACTAAGAATAAAGGATACAATCCCTGGTTATCAACCAGGTCGCTTTTTCCCTGTTAAAAATCAATCTGCTAGAAGAAGAAAACATACCACGAGACTTGAGAGCTTTTTAAAATATAATTTAAAACTATTTTGTACCAGTACAATATATTAATTTTACAAATGTAAAATTTTTATCAGCTGTTAAAGCATTTGCAAAAACCACACATCCTACTTCAGCTGTATTGCACAGTATCTATAAGAAAATATTAATTTTTAAATTAGAAAACATAAAAATGCTTTCAATATAGAAGAGACCATCTGATTTTAAAGACAATACTCTATAAGAATTTCTACCCAGAAAATAACAAACTTTTTCACAGGATACAAAGCTGGACAGATGTTTCAGCAGATCCAGTACAAAACATGGTGTAAAACCAGTCCAGGATACTTGATCCAAATTGTATCACCATTCTTCATTAGAAATCTAGATGCCACTCAAGGTGGTTTCTTACACTTAAGAAAAGTTGAGGCATTTTTTTTTCATTGTGAGCATTCTGAACTTCTCTCGCCTATTAAAAATAATACTTCCAACTTAATAGCCATTTGCAAGTTTTTCCCCTTTATGCAGATTTTTATCTCTGGCAATTGTCTTTAATGTCTGTTAACTGATCGTCCTACTTCATTTAGGCTGATAGAAAACATCAAGTTAAATACATTTTTTAAAACCCAGTTCTTTACAAAAATCGGTTTATAAATTTGTGTCACAAAAATTAGTGTCGAGACCATCAAGATGGACTTTCAATTGTTTTATGTTAGTTGGTCCTCCCAGAGTTAGGATAGTAGATGTCCCGCTTATCTATGTAGTGTTAATCGGGAACTAAATCCAAGCACTAGGCTGGAACCCCAAGACAGAAAATAAGGTTGTATAATGGGCTTTAGTGGGATGTTACCCTGGGTCTATAAACCAATGTAGGTGTTAAAATCCAGACATCAAATCTCGGTGGTAATTTAATTCACCTTAGATAATGAATATACACAATCTGAAGATGCAAAGGGAAAATGTCCATACATACATTATCAGTGGCGTTGTTGTGTAGAAAAGAAATCCTTATTCATTAGAACAAGAATTCACCATTTTTTGATACTTATATAGATTATACCTCTTTTCTTATTAAAGCATGTTGGTTCAATTAAAAGTGTTTTCAAATGTATGCTTGTGGCCCAGGAAATCGCCTTTTGGAACTTATGGCCTGCATAAGCAATGTCAAATATAATAGTATACGTTTGTGTAGAGAAAATAATTATTAAAATAGTGGTTATGCACTCAAGTTTTTTTTGTAGGTAGACAGAATTATCAAAATCCCAGATGCTTATTAAAAAGTTTGCATTATTTAGAATTTCTTCCTTAGGAATCAAAGCAGTTGGTTTTCTGGAACTGCATCTTTCAGAACTGCCCAAAGCACCTCATCTAGATGAGTGTTTTTTAAAAATATATTTATAAAGTCTACAAAGAGACTTCAAACATCACATATTTCACCTTTTACGGGTTTTTTGTTTTTTGTTTTTATCACATATCCCTTCCTTAAGAATCCTTCAGAAAAAAATAAAAATAAACTCTCACATTCCATTAGAAAAAAATGGAAACATTCATGGTCTGAATTTTCTGGATTCCCCCAAATCTTGGTACTATGTGCAATTTCCTCATATACAGGTTTTGAGGAAACCCCTGATCATCTACTACTGAATATTCAGCTAATGGACATGCCATAGAAAATTGACATTAATAGTAGTAAATAGATTAAAGTCTATTTCATAAAATAACAATGTTCTATGACTTCCCATTTAAATATATATCTGAAAAGCTGAGAGGATGTTTTTGTTTTTCCAAAGTGCTAAATAATACATTTACAAGTATCTTCAACACATTATGTCCAATTTTCTGTAAAACTAAACCACCTTGCTTTAGGCACTCTGCTCGATGAGTTTCTAAGAAGCGAGGGGTGGGGGGGGGTGGGGGGGAGAGAATCACTTGTCAATTAACCCAGCTTCCTTAATCTTACTGAAGAAGAATTTCTCCAGGATATTGGCACATTTGTAGTATTCACTCTCAGGAGGGTTGTACTCTTTGCAGTTGGTGAAGACTCGCTGTAAGTCTGCCATGAATAATTTCTTAGACACGTAGTACCTATTCTTGAGGCGTTCACTCATGGTTTTCAGATCTGCACAGGAAAGAAAACAGCTTAGCAATCTGTGACCCCTTTTGAACACTAGCTGACAGAAGTGAGACTGGGAAGGAAATCTCTCATATCTTTCATCACTTTGATTACATTTTTACCAGCCTGATCCCTTGAAGAGGAATCCATATAATCAGGGAAAACAGTTCTTAAACCTTACGTTCTTTCTTTTGTGAGAGTTTCTTGAAAAAAATCACAGCATTTTAACATGGAAGGGACCATTATTAGTCATCTGGCCCACTCCCCTATTCAGCACAAGAAGCTAAGTAGATTAGCAGCAATAAGCATGATGAACTGACTACTGTCAGCTATTCATTCAGCTTCATACAGAAGAGGCTTTATCTACATGGAGTAAGACAGGCGGAACATGTGTATTGAACCTTTCACTGCGCAAAACAGAGTGAGTTTGTCTCACGAAAGTCACAGTTGTCTTGGTGTTGCAGAGACATAACTAAGAGAAACTGATCATAAATACATCTGCAAATAAATATACCAGTGACCTTGCAGGTAAAATGGCTCAAATGAATTTAGTTTCATGCTCCATCAATGGCATAAGAATGGCAAACATAATAATCTACTTTCTAAAGCAAACAGGTCTCCTAAGACTATGGCAAAAAGAATTTTTCCCCCCATTGTATCTACTTGCTTTAAACTGTATTTTTTTTTTTTTATAAATGAACACGGTGCTTCATCTAAACTTACAAAAATACAATGGGGCTTCATTAATCCCTGATCTCAGGACTGATTTAGAGAATTCCATGCAGATTAGAAGACGCTAACATCTTCCACTTAATAACATTAACTTAGTAACATTGCCTACTTGTAGGTTCCTAGTTGTCTCTAAGCCTGGTTCTATCATTAAAATTTATATTAACACAGAAAAATAAGTCAAATTCACTGAAGAAATACTTCTGAATATCAATCATCCAAATTCCCATTATATTATCAAATTTTCCAGAGGGAAAGAAGCTTATAACCAAATACACTATGATGATCATTTAATAAGATAGGTAAATTTATGTGCAACATCCCCAAACTGGGAGAAGTTCATTTTCATCAAAATCCTAAATCTACCACAAAGAAAAAATGGGAAATATCTGCTTTTGTTTTATTTCTTTCAACTCGATTAGTTATGTTATCGCATCAGAGTTCAATTTTCAATTTTCTTTCTTCTCTGACGGAAACAGTTTGGAGAGTGAGAAAAAAAGTATCAAGACACACAAAGGTTCAGCAAACATCCCACTAAATGTCATCTTAGTGTGATCGAACAGATAAAGATATAATATCTTCTGGTTTAAGAAAGAAAGAGCAGTTAGCCGGAACCGGTTTGGCTCAGTGGATAGAGCGTCGGCTTGGGGACTGAAGGGCCCGGGTTTCATTCCGGTCTGGGGCATGTACCTTGGTTGCGGGCATATCCCCAGTAGGGGGTGTGCAAGAGGCAGCTGATCGATGACTCTCTCTCATCGATGTTTCTAACTCTCTATCTCTCTCCCTTCCTCTCTGTATAAAAATCAATAAAATATATTTTTAAAAAGAAAGAAAGAAAGAAAGAAAGAAAGAAAGAGCAGTTAAATTGTGCCTCGCTAGATAAAATTAGATGTTTACCTTTCTTCCAACTAAATACCTACCACTTAAGTTATGCTGCCAGACATAATGTTTTACAAGAGATGTTTAACCAAAAGAATAAAAGGGGGGAAAGACAATGAAACTTCACAAAAACAAGTTTATCTAAAAGCTTCTCAAATTATTTTTTGGGAGGGAGAGGGTAGATAAGAAGAGATGAAAAGAGCCTAAAATATAAAAGAAACAAAACAAGAACCACAGAAGTGTTGGGCCTTTCTGAATAATTATAACCAATTCTGAGTATTTCCACATTTCCCTTCTACTCCAAAGTGACGATAGCACCTTTCTCTAGCCTTTTTAGATTATTTCAGTTGACCAAACAGCATAAGTTAAAAAAGAAGGTAGTTAGCCAAGACCGGTTTGGCTCAGTGGATAGAGCGTTGGCCTGCAGACTGAAAGGTCCCAGGTTCGATTCCGGTCAAGGGCATGTACCTTTGGTTGCGGGCACATCCCCAGTAGGGGGTGTGCAAGAGGCAGCTAATCGATGATTCTCTCTCATCTATATTTCTAACTCTCTAACCCTCTCTCTTCCTCTCTGTAAAATATCAATAAAATATATATTTTTTAAAAAGAATAAGAAGAAGGTAGTTAAACCTCAGTAATTCCAAACATGGAGACACCATTAATTTCCCCCACCAACTTGGGAATTCTGAATAAATCCAAAAACTCTGCCTAGCAACCCATGTGTGATAAGAAGATATGCTTGGGTCAGACTTTTCTGCCAATGGTCCTTAAATAAAATAGGTTAGATCTCCTTCACATGGAAGAAAAGAGTTTTTTAGGGAACAGGGGAAAGAGAAGAAATGTTTTAGGGAATAGCCGAGAAGGTAATGAGGAAAAGTAAAATTACTGACTTGTCAGCCTTATACTTAAACACATGACCATCTTAGAGGAAAAGACTGCATGTTTTGCCCACCATCTAAATGCATCCCAACAAAATTACTGTGGCTTCACTAAAGAGACCGTTTACTCTTTTCATTGACTTTGTGCAGCACACACCTTAGCCCATCCCTGGTCTTACTCAATGTGGTCAATTTCCTCCTCCTGACCATTCTTTCAGCTATACACACAACTAGTGATCAATTTGGAGGGTCTCGCATCCTTCTCAGGCTTGGCCAAGCAAAAGCCATCCCAGAAAGCAGGCTGTGAGCAGACTGATGACAGGCAAGCCTGCTAGACCTACCACTGCAGGTCTGCAGAGCGCACATGGATGGGCTGGAAGAAAACTATTCTCTGCAAATGCATACAGCCTCCCATGAAGGTTTTCCAAAAGAAGTTGAAATGATCCCGAAGATGGGGGTGCAAAGGTCAGTTAAATTTTGAAATGTAGCCAAAACCGGTTTGGCTCAGTGGTAGAGCATAGGTCTGCGGACTAAAGGGTCCCGGGTTCGATTCCGGTCAAGGGCATGTACCTTGGTTGCAGGCACATCCCCGATAGGGGGTGTGCAAGAGGCAGCTGGTCGATGTTTCTCTCTCATGGACGTTTCTGGCTCTCTATCTCTCTCCCTTCCTCTCTGTAAAAAATCAATAAAATATATATATTTTTTTAAATTTTTTGAAATGTACAAAAAGGGGTTTAACGTATTATTTTACATCATGGAAAATATTAATTCCCAAATCACCTTTTCATTCGGAACTCAAGACTCAGTCAACCCTCATTTTGGTTTTTCATGTACAGGAATACACAGAAGCAAGGCAGAGAAATATTAAAAAAAAAAAAAAAAAAAAAAAAAAAAAAAAGAAAGAAAAGCATATGGGTTCACGTCTACTTTAAGGAGAAGATACTACTGAAATCATTACCAGCATTATTTAAAATACGCATGTGAAAACGAATGCTACAGAAAACATCTACAAATAACTCTGTTATCAGGGAGCCACTGGGTCCCTTTAACTCTTCCTTTCACACTTCAATCCTTTCTTAGCACCAGAAATAGATGACAGGTAGAAAAGGGACAGAAGACGCAGGCTCTCTCCAAAAAAAAAAAAAAAAAAAAAAATGGCCACACAACCGGCTGAAAAGAGAACATTTCAGCTGGTTGTCTGTCATCTGCATGACACCAAATTGGTTTAATTTGGGGGTTCTCAATCATTCCTTTTAGTACGCTGCAGGCACAGTAGCAATTTCCACGGGTCTACATTTCTAGTGGTGTTTTTTGTTAGTTTGGTTTTGGATGTGGGACAAAGCTTAAAATAGAAGTATAAAGAGGGACATTAATAGTACCCATCAAGAGCATGAAAAATCAAGGACTGTACTAACTAGGATTTCTCCCTCTGAAAGTAGAGCAAACAGCTTCACCTAACTTTTCTTGTACTGTCTTCAAAAATTCTCAGACTCGCCAGCACCGGTTTGGCTCAGTGGATAGAACGTCGGCCTGCGGATTGAAAGGTCCCGGGTTCGATTCCGGGCAAGGGCATGTACCTTGGTTGCAGGCACATCCCCAGTGGGGAGTGTGCAAGAGGCAGCTAGTTGATGATTCTCTCTCATCGATGTTTCTAACTCTCTATCCCTCTCTCTTCCTCTCTGTGAAAAATCAATAAAAAATGTATTTAAAAAAAAAATTCTCAGACTCAAACGTTATCAAGAGGACAACCTGATGTTTATCCATTTGCAATGGGTAGAAGATCAGTGAGGTTATGTCCAAACAGCCAGCTTCGTATCTAGTGCCATCCACAGTCCCCACCTGGGCTTCTGCGTCTGCGGTGTTGGTGTGTGGGCCCTCAGACAGCTGCACATCTCTCATGAACACAGCCACCCACTCCTTTGCCATTGTGTTCTGACATCGCTGCCCTCCCTGGGTACATGGTGAACCCACCGCCCACCACACACACCCTACCCTACAACAGAAGAGAACAAATTAACCTCAGTAACCATGTGTCCCCCACACCACCATCCAGAGAGCTTTAAATCTATTCTTAGAAAATGTTAATGGCATTACCCATGGGGAACCTTATAACTTCATAATATCCCGGAGCTTCTGTTCTCTTCACAGGTTCCATGAAGGGCCAAGCGCTTTGATGGCTCTTGGGGAAAGAAAAAAAAAAAAAAAAAAAAAAAGGTAAAGTATCTAATACGGAAATTTCATGTGAGAAATCAAAATATTGGCATGAGGTGAATGAAAACGCCCACCTTCACCTGCTGGAGGATGCTCTTGAGTGTGCTATAGAGCTGGTCAGAGTCTTTGGGCTCTTTACTTGAAAGGAAAAGAGTGAACAACAAGGAACAACAATTAGTTTCTTACCCTCTTGCCAGGTGATTCCTATTCAGCTCGTTTTTACAAAAGCAAACAAACAAAAACTGGATTCATTCCTGATTTTTTTTTTTTTTAATGAAAACTGAAACCTAACAACTGTATTGGTGATTACACTGGGTTTGCCCATTTTCTCTAAGTTGCGGGTGTGTGTGTGTGTGTGTGTGTGTGTGTGTGTGTGTGTGGAATCACTTCCATTATTATCTTCTCACCCATCACACTTACCTTTTTTCTTTTCCACTCTGTTTCCAGCCTGTCTCTCCTGTATGTCAACAAAATAAACACTGAATGAGAACTGCTTTTGGCAAGAGAATATCAGTTAACACTTAACAAAAATGCAATCAATTACAGCCATGCCTTAAGAAATCTGTTCCTGGGAAGACACTGAAATTAACTGCAGTTCGTTTACTTTCTAATATGGCTCGCTGTGCAAAACATTTCCAAGATTAACAACACTGCTCAAAACGTTTTTTAAAGAGGGAACTCCAACCTTTCAAAGAAAATCATAGAAATTACAAATGCCCAGTACTGTGGGTATGTGTATTTTTTTTAAACTCTAACTCAATTTTTGCCATCACCGTGTGAAAGAGTGAGGCTGTTATTTTAGGTCAGAACAAAGTCTGTCCTGGTCTCTGTTTTACTTGGCACCTGCTTATAAAGCAAGACAGTTTAGTGTAGCAGAAAGAAAACATAGTCTAGAGACCAGTAGGCCTGGAGTTAATTTCTTTCTTTTTTTTTTCCTAATATAGTTTTATTGATTTGGAGGAGAAACATCAATGATGAGAGAGATTCATTGATTGGCTGACTCCTGCAAGCCCCGCCCTGTGGATCGAGCCCACAATGCAAGGATGTACCCTAACTGGGAATCAAACTGTGACCTCCTGGTTCATGAGTCAACACTCAACCACTGAGCCACACCAGCTGGTCTGGAGTTGATTTCTTGGTTCCTCCTTGAAAGCTGACTTACCCTAGATAAGTTATTTAACCTTTGGGCTCTCAATGTTTCAATCTATAAAACAGAACTCTAAAAATTAGGTGATATTATCCCATAGAAGAATGCCTGCACACATTGGCATTCAGTGATATGGTTGCTATTATTAATTAGGATAACATGGGGAAGTAAAATTTCTGGGTCTGGCAGGGAAAGCAATTAGTGCTGTAGAGTAGGTTTTGTAACGAAGAAATATATATGAATCACATCGTGAAAAAAACAAATAATGTAGCTTTTTTTAGTTTGCATGATTTTGTTTTGCTTTATAAATCTTTAATAGACCAGAAGAACCTGGACTTGAACTACATGAAAGTGCCAATATTTGATCTACCAAAAGAACTACTTTGTATGTTTTATTTTATTTATTTTTTTTTTTTTTCTGCATCGGCTGCTTTATTTAAGGGCTGGTGACTAACAGTCCCCATCCCAGCCCCTTCCTCTTCTATAAAAGCAACTACACATGAGCCGGGGCCCCCACCCAGTGGTGTTGAGTCCCAGGCCAGTCCTTCGAAGGCAGAGGAGGGCGTGGGTCCAGTTCACACAGGCAAGGTGCTGGACAGGGGGTGAGGCGGCGGGGAGTCCTGAGACTGTCTCTGTGGGCTTGCCTCACCCCGGATGGCAGGACACTGGCCCCTGGAGAAGCCAGGGCTCCAGAGCCAGGGAGTCAGGGGCCGAAAGGGGAGCAAGTCAAAGGCTTTTGGCGCCAAGGAGGCAGTTCAGGTCCTCGGAGTTCCCTGCCCATGAGCACACCCCCATGGCCATACTTGCAGCCAAACATCCACATCCACATCCACTCCACACATAGGCAGGGGCTGCGAAGGCCCTGGACCCACACCCTGGACCTCAGGAATGTCTCTGGATTGGTACCCAGTGGGCTGGTCCTCGGCAGCAGGGCTGCTAAGGGGGTGGGTCCTCTGTTTTGCTACTGATTGGCGGCCTCACAGGCATCTATCCAATCACTATACACGTCCACTGGTTCTGACAGATACGTGATGGGCGTCTGGAATTCCTCTAGGCACACGGTACAAGAGATGACTCCGGTGTTACGGGCACGGTCCATTTTCACGTCACAAGATTTCTCGTGGTTGCAGAAGGGGCAGGTGAACTGGGTCTCTAGGGTGCCTGTCATCTTCTTCTTGGGGGGTGGCTTTCGTTTGGACTTCCTGCGCCCCATGTCTGCAGGAGGGCGAACCTGCACCAGCCTTCCCTCCTGGCGACAGCCTCGTTCACCCGGGAGACAGAGACTTCCCTACTTTGTATGTTTTAACTCACTACAACTCACTGCCTACATACTCTCCGATAAGAACCTTCAGAAAAACTGTTGTAAAATAGGGAACAGGAATCAAAATATGTGATTTCTAATCATCCTTTCTAGAAGTTTGGAAACACTCATCTACCCAAGCACAGATCTATGCAGATTGCAACCATGATGGCAATGAGATATAGTGAGAACAGCAAGCTGTTTGGAGGAGATAAGAAATGGGCTGCTCCTCAGTCTGCCAGTTACCGGCCACGTGCTATATAAGGTCAAAGGACTTAACCAGCCTGAGGCTGAATTTCTCCATTTATAAAAAGCAGAAGCCCCTACTTTCAAGGTCACCTGTGGGTAGTGCCTAGCACTGCGCCACAAAGAGCAGGCTCTCGGTACAGGACGGCCATTAACAGCTACAACAAGGGGTCATCTAAGCTCTCTTTGGTTTGTTTGCAATTTGAAGCAGAGAAAAGATATCAAAGGAAAGCATCGGCTGCCTTCTTAAAATACTAGAAATAGCACCGATGGAGAAGGGCAGGGCAAAAAGCTTTTTAAAGTACTACACTCTGGTAATACTTTCCAACCCTCCTGGTGGCATTTCCAAAAGATTTTGCTTTTAAAAGAAGATCTATATACATACTAATTCCAGGAATGCTTTCTATCGGAATCTGCCGAACTCCGTCTTTAAAACATGAAAGTCCAGGGTAGACTTTTCGAATCTGGGCTTGCTTTCTTTCTATCAGCTTTTTGATGATCTGAAAAGCACAGGAAGGAAACGTGGTCAGTGGCAGAAGTCCGTGGCTCCGGGCCACGTCAGCCAACCTCTGGAGCCATTCCCCTAGCAAAATCAAGTCTTTAGAAAACAAAAGGGGAGAAGGAGGTGGATTCTATTCAGTAGGAAAGTCATGAAAACAGTCTATAATATCGTGTCCATGTAGTATCGCTCACACAACCTCTTCAGTACTCGCCCCCTCGGGAAAGTCGAATTGAGAGAACACACTAACCCCCGTGCCCACTGTCCTCTTTCGCATCAGAGCCAAGACCTTCACAAAGCAGCTGAGATCCGCTACCCAGACCAGTGTGCGAACCTCCTCACATCCATGACTAGGAACTGTTCCTTCGGACTAAAGTTCCCAAAACCTGGGAGGATGTCCTTACTACCCGAATTTTTCAAGGCTTGAGCCTCAACCTATGCTGTTTGCATGAAAAAAGCAGCTCTCAAGTCTGTTTAAGGCATCACAACCAGGATGGGACGGTTTTGAGAGAGGTATTTGTTTTATAAATAATTCCTAAGGTACTGAAGTAGTAATTAGTTCTAAAATAGTTCCCAAAAGAAGAAGAAAACATTAAAAAAAAAAAAAAATCTCCCACAAAGCCATCTCTGATGACATAGGGTCCCTATGGATGCCACCATTCCCCTGGAGTCCACATTCAAGAAGCAGTACACGCCGAAACTGGTTTGGCTCAGTGGGTAGAGTGTCAGCCTGCGGACTGGAAGGTCCCAGGTTCAATTCCGGTCAAGGGCATGTACCTTGGTTGCAGGCACATTCCCAGTGGGGGGTATGCAGGAGGCAGCAGATCGATGTTTCTCTCTCATCATCAATGTTTCTAACTTTCTATCCCTTTCTCTTCCTCTCTGTAAAAAAATAAATAAAATAAAATAAAAATAAAAAAAGAAGCAGTACGCCTCTCTCCACTTTGTGCCATCTGTCCAACGGTACTGGATTTCTCTAACCACATCTACAATTTGATTAGCTAGAAAAGTCCACCCTATATTTCCAGTTTGCATGGCTCCCACCATTAGTCCCTATCCTCCACAGGGGAATTTCAAAGTTGGAATAAAAGACACGTGTAGAAATCATTTGATTTCAGCCGAAACCGGTTTGGCTCACTGGATAGAGCGTCAGCCTGCGGACTGAAAGGTCTTGGGTTCGATTCTGGTCAAGGGCATGTACCTTGGTTGTAGGCACATCCCCAGTGGGGGGTGTGCAAGAGGCAGCTGATCGATGACTAAAAAAAAAATAAATCATTTTATTTCAGTGGAAGAAGGTACCTGTGAATCCAAATATTTTACTATGGTGACCTCAGATCTCTTCTTTTAAAAGAACTAGGTTAACAACTCCACGCTTCATCATCCATCCACTCAACAGTGTGTGTTAGACAAGGCTGGCAGCAGAGAAGGAAGGTGAGCAGAGAAGGATAAAAGGTCCAAGAGAAGTGAAAGAGGAAGGATGAAGGAGCTTTATCTTCTAACAAGCTGACTGCTTTTGTTAGCTCTGTGCTTACGGCTTTCCCCTTCCTGGAGGAAGAGCCAGCAGTCTAGACGTCGTGAATTTGGAGACCCAGCCAGGGGAATCCTGCTCTCAGCTTAGACGGAATCGGGAGATGAATTGGGCTGCTGGGAGGCGTGAGGAATGAGCAGCTGACAGCAGCCTGATGGCTTTCCTTGGCCAGCAGCCTCCAATGCTGAACCATGAGCTGCTGAATTCAGACCTGCTCACTAAGCCCCAAAGAGAACAATGAAGAAAGCCAGCTCTTCAGAGACAGACAGAGAGAGGAGCCTGCTGTGATTTTATTAACTCTCCCAGTAGCCTATGTGGAATTCTCCCTTCGGCTGACATTTTGACAAAAAAAAACACAAAAACAAACAAAAAAAAACCACAACAACAAAGGTTTTTTTTTTCTAACTTAGTAAAAGATGAAAACAAAACAAGAAAACACTTTTTGCTCACTTCCGTAAGAAGCATAAGAACACATCTGAGCCACTTTAAATAAAAGGAAAATATTTATGGAGCAGCTACTATGCACCGGACACTGTGTAATTGGTGATATGATAATTAATAACTGAGATTAAAGGAAATTAGTAGAAACCAGAAGAAAAAGATAGATTGAAGACAGAAGAACTTCTAAAAGTTACATCTGGAGAAAAGAGCACTACTAAAAATGAATAACAGAAGTATAAAGTGGGGGTGGGGAGGCGGGAATGGACCAGAAGAAGGAAATAGGAGGAAAAGGAGGACCTATGTAATACTTTCAACAATAAAGGTTGGGGTGTGGGGGGGAGAAGCATAAAGTGGAATTCAACAGAATGACACAACTGCAAACTCCGAGTTTTTGAGTCCAACAAACTAGAGGAGCAAAGAGCCGATCCTGGCCTTACCACGCCAAGTTCATTCATTTATTAAATGGCCTCTGTGCTCTCCCAAAGTATGCTCTTTTTGCATTCCTTTTGCTGTCTTAGAGATATAAAATTGCTACGGAGTCACATGATCAATCTTTCCCTTTACTGCTTCACTTTCAGTTCATATGCAAAAAAAGACTTCACCCCAATATTAGATAACAAGTCAGTTAATGCCTAGAACCTTCAGCATTTGCAATATGAGAGGAGAGACGAATGCATGCTAAAGTAAATGACTGTGTAAGACGACGAATAATTGCAATGAATGGATCAAACTAGTGCTGGAGACATTCAAGGAAGGAATTAGAGCGCAGGCTGAAGTGGTTCCATTTAGGTCAGGAGAGGGAGGGGGGCAAAGGACGAAGACCTCAAGCAAAAGGGTTAAAGCATCAGTAACGGGCTCTGGAGAGTAGTTTAGAGAAGAAAACAACGACGTAAGTTTGGGGAAAATGCTTGAGACCAGAATGTAAAAAACCTTGAAGGTGAAGTGAAGATGACTCATCATGTTTAACAAGTTTTGTGTTTTTATACCAATTGAACAACAGCTGATGCTCTCAGGAACAGTAACCTAGAGGAGACAGACCAAGGATCTAGACAAGCCACAGCAAACAGATGATGATGGCCAGTAAACCCGTTTACACTGAGCCCAGTGATTTGCAACTCACCCCACTGAGACTGGCCTGTACAGAGGAACACTTGTCAGTCTATGCTTACCTCCTTCTGCTTCTTAATGATGACAGAAAATTCTGTGTATGGGATCTGGGGATTTAGCTCACATCCCATTAAAGTGGCTCCTTCATAGTCCTTGATGTAGCCGACATATTTGGCTTTAGGTATTTTAATTTCTTTGGAGAAACCCTGCAAAGCAAATAATAAATTCATTCAAGTGGGCATTGTGCACCAAGTATATATTGAGTGCTAATTGCTGGGAACTGTGTTGGCATTAATATATGTTTCTTTCAAGTTCTCATCATATTATTGTGGAAAGGAAGAGCATGAAACCCTTTCAGGAAGTTCAAAAGCATCAAAAATCAAACATGCAGCTCTGGCTGGTTTGACTCAGTGGATAGAGCGTCAGCCTGCAAACTGAAGGGATCTAGGTTTGATTCCAGTTAAGGGCACATACATTGGTTGCAGGCTGCTCCCCTGCCCCGGCCCTGGTCAGGGCAGGAGCAGGAGGCAACCAATCAATGTGTTTCTCTCACATCAATGTTTCTCTCTGTCTTTCCCTCTCTCTTCCACTCTCTCAAAAAAAAAAAAAAATCAATGGAAAAATATCCTTGTTTGAGGATTATCAACAAAAACACACAAAAAAAATCAAACATGCAAATAGAAAACAAGACATTAAAAAATAATTCTAGTAAAACACAATCATACTAACAAGTGGTTTGTTTTGTTTTTTTTATAGAAATGAGTATTAAGTAAAAATAAAGTTTAGCCGAAACCGGTTTGGCTCAGTGGATAGAGCCTCAGCATGCAGACTGAAAGGTCCCAGGTTCGATTCCGGTCAAGGGCATGTACCTTGGTTGTGGGCACATCCCCAGTAGGGGGTGTGCAGGAGGCAGCTGATCGATGTTTCTAGCTCTCTATCTGTCTCCCTTCCTCTCTGTAATAAATCAATAAAATATTAAATAATAATAACAATAATAATAATAATAATGTCTAATTTTGCATTAAATTGCACAAATTCTCCCAAAGTGGAGGTGAGGGCCTCTATCATCTTAACAAATCAACAACTAGCATTGACCCAAAGTCTGAAAGAAAAGCTTATCAAAAAAATATAGCCATTAAGATTCTGACGTTAAAAAAATGATACCCCGACTTTTCAGGCAAAAAACTTTCAGTCCATCACATTGTGTGGTTGTGTCAGTGACATTAATGCTTTGCAACATATTCATTTACATGCCTTAAGCTGTAATAACATAGTGCCACAGGGTATGTATTCATATATTTATAATATAAGCATAATTTTCCTTACAGTGCCTATTTCAGTTTTCCTGCAGAAAATTACTTGGGCTTCAGAACTATCACTGGCAGTTTCCTGCCTTCTCTTCCAGCAAAAACTTATTTTCCAAACAATTATTGCCACTGTCTTCAAAGGGGGCTCCAGGCAAGTCATTTAAGAATCATGGCTGAGATCTCACGCTGTGTAATGTACTTACAACCTAGGAAGGCGGACTCGTAAGCCCTCCGTGAAACAATCCCACTGAGTCTGTCAGGTAAGTTTAATTACAAAAGCCACAAATGCATCCCCCAAAATGAGAAAAATATATATACTGGCCATTAATTACCTGACGTTGGAAGAGGGGATGCTTTCTATTCATATATTTTAAAGAAGTTAATAGACTTTTAAAGTCTTTAAAATTGGGTAAAGAAAAAGCTATAAACAATGTTAAAACATGACATGCAAGAGGAAATCAAAATAAAAGGTTAAACTTCCTGACTCGATTCCGGTCAAGGGCATATGGGGGGTGTGCAAGAGGCAGCTGATTGATATTGCTAACTCTCTATTCCTTTCCCTTCCTCTCTGTAAAAAATCAATAATTATAAAAAAAAAATCAATTTTTTTTTTTTTTTGGAAGGGAGCGGGATAGAGAGTTAGCAACATCCATCAGCTGCCTCTTGCACACCCCCTACTGGGGATGTGCCCGCAACCAAGGTACATGCCCTTGACCGGAATCGAACCTGGGACCTTTCAGTCCGAGGGCCGATGCTCTATTCACTGAGCCAAACCAGATTCGGCAATAAAATATATTTAAAAAAAAAATATATATATTTTATTGATTTTGTACAGAGAGGAAGGGAGAGAGATAGAGAGTTAGAAACATCGATGAGAGAGAGTCATCCTATCAGCTGCCTCTTGCACACCCCCCACTGGGGATATGCCCGCAACCAAGGTATATGCCCTTGACCGGAATCGAACCCGGGACCCTTCAGTCCCCAAGCTGACGCTCTATCCATTGAGCCAAACCGGTTTCGGCTATATATATTTTTTTAAATGTACAGGGATTATAAAGCACTGTGAAAATAAGTGTGCAGCCAAAGAATAATCCTTAAAAAGCCTATCTAAAACCTCTGATAAGGACTGAGGGCAACCCAACTCCCAGCCTGTCATGCACCATGGAACCAGAATTGTCTGGAGCTCTTCCTATGCATGAGAATGTCCTCTCTGCTCTAAAGAGAGGCTTTCCACAGACGGAATCCATGTCTCTCCATAACAGGATATCTCGACTCGCCCACCCTGGGATGAGATACCATAATTTAGAAGGACAGGATGCAATATTATATTTCACTCAGAGATGACATTCATTCACTCTACAAGTATTTATCTAGTATGTACTATGTGCTGGTCATACCCTCTGAATCCAGGTTGAACCTTACTTAAGGCTTATAAAAATAAACGTATGTCCTTCTTATAAGCAGAACACATTGAATGGGACAAAGGAAAGATTTAATTGGAATGAAGGCTACCTGAGCGCATATTTTAAAAAGGAATGACAAAGCAGTGTTGCACAGTGAAAAACATACCTGTTTCTTGAAATATCCGATTGCATATTCATCTGCATATGTGAGGAAGTTCAGGATGTCGTGTTTTATATGAAATTCTTTCAAATGATTCATCAGGTGTGTTCCATAGCCCTGTGTGGAAGGAAGTTAGTATACAGACAAATATATCAGGTTCTGAAGAAAAAATAAGTCCTACAAATTCATCAGGAAATACTGGCCAGTTTAGGAATCTGTACTTTGATATATTTTACCAATATAATACTAACATACTTTCTTGCATTTCTGCATATTGAACCAAAACATTCAAAATCCTTAAAATGAGATATAGTCATTACTTAGAAATACAAGTTTCTGGTCCTTTGAGAAATAACACACAAAGGCTATAAGCTTCAAGTTCAACGCTAAAGTTACTTGCTGAATATTAATACAGAAGTTTTAGGAGTAAATAAGGATTCGGCATTTCTGCTTATCCTCAAAGTATTTGCAGACCTCAGAGGAAAGGAGCAATGTAAACAAGCAGTGCTAATCTTTGCCGGAATGTTAACTAATCCGAGCTTTTCCTGTGTAGTGCAAATCAGCAGTTTTTCAACTGCATGATCTTAGACACTGGATGGCAGCTTGGTCTTATCCAACAAGGTCCCAGAAGCCCAGAATCTTCTGAGAGAGCCAGAAGACATTAGGAAGTAACTAAAGCGAGTGAACAATGTTGGGGAAAAAATGAATGATTGAAATATGAAAAACAAAATGCAACTGATAGGTTTCTCAGTGCTGAATAAAACGTACAGGAAATCTATAAATTTAAGATAAATGTTTCAGAACCTAATAAAAAAAAAGAGATGAAATCCCAGCATCTAGACACAAATATGTTCACATGAGCATTTTAGAACTCAGTGACACACTTTTATTAAAAAAAAAAAAAAAAAAAAAAAAAACCCTATGATCTCATGCAACTGCCCCAGGCGAGAAGGACCTCTGGTCTATCTCTCTACCATGTGAGGCTGGAAGTCTATGTCTCCTGGTAATTATTCTCCTACTGATATTACCCAAGGACATTTTACATTTTACATTTTACAAAAAGATCATATTACTGGCACACTGTGAGTCCAAATAAAATGCAACTAAAAGGATGAATGAAATCCCTCTCTCCTTGAGGACAAGAGAGTTAAATGGGAAAGATAAATATATAAACACACAATCAGAGCATAGAACTGCACTGTTCAATATGGCAGCTACTAGCCACAAGCAGCTTCTGAGCAACTGAAACCTGGCCAGTCCAAGTTGAGATGTACTGGGGTGTAAAAGACGCATCAGGAAAAAAATTCTTGTTAATAGCGATGTATACCTATCATATGTTGAAATGACATTATTGTGGACATAGCACGTTAAATGGAAAATATGAAAATTAGTTTTACCTGTTTAATTTTACTTTTTAAAAATATAGAGCCCACAACCAGTTTGACTCAGTGTATAGAGTGTCGGCCTTAGGACCGAAGGGTTCGATTCCCGTCAAAGGCACATGCCCAGGTTCCCGGCTCCTCCCCCAGCCCAGGCTCTCGTGGGGGGATATGCAGGAGGCAACCAATTGATGTGTTTCTCTCACATCAATATTTCTGTCTTTTCCCTCTCCCTAAATACCAATGAAAAAAGATCCTTGGGTGAGGATTTAATAAAAATAAACATATAGATACCAGAAATTTTAAAATTACATGTGTGGCTTGCATTTGAAGCTCACAATATATTTCTACTAGAGGCTCACTGCAGAAGTTCGTGCCTGGGTAGGGTCCCTAGTGGCTGCCAGCTGCCGACTGGGGCCTTCCTTCATTCCATTCCACCCTTGTGGTCAGCACACATCATAGCGAGCGATCGAACTCCCAGTCGGTCAAACTCCAGGGGGGGCCGATTTTGCATATTAGGCTTTTATATATAGATTATATATATAGATTGCACAGCATTGATACAGAGTAATGTGTAGAGATTAGTAGAAAATATGTTTTCTGCTGAAATTCACTTTAACATAGATGTGGTTGATGAAAGAGAGGTAGGCTTTTGTTGTATATACCATCTATCTTGTAAGGAATTAACAGAGCTATAAATGTCCGCCCCTTCGCCCATAATCCAATGATTTGCATAAGAACAGCAATAATTTTTCTTTTGTAAACAGCTTCTCAAAACCTACATAAGATATGTTTCATCAGTGGTCACCTCTCCAAAGAAATTTTCCATAATCCAAGTTGCTTGGGAGCATGGGCAGTGTCTTTGAACTTGAATCCTCTCTAACACTGTGACTGGCATTAGTGGTAGCTCAAACATTTATTTGGTTAAAGAAGCATTGCCAACACTAAGCTATTAGAAGCAAATGTTTAGATTTCCACCCCACAACTATTTCCCTTGTTTGTATGCCTTTATTTTGAGTTGCCACCAAAAGGATTCTTTTCCAAGTCTGCCTGGTAACTTCAGTGTTTATTTAAATACGTATTATAGTAAACAAGTATTAGGCATGTAACTTTCCAATTGCACATGATATCAAATCCAAATAATTCTCAGTTGAGGAGACAGCCTCAAACCAGGCGAGGAACTTCTCAAAATTTATCTTGTGTGTGCTTTGAGCAAGATAAATTCACATGAAAATCCTACTTCGAGCATCCGCAGGAATTTGGTGGTAAGCATAATACTCCAAAATGAGCGGACACCAATTCTAAAAAGTATCATTTAGCCAAGATTTTTAATGTATTAAAGAAACATTTAAAACCACTTATGAACACTCTGTTTTCACAAAAGCACTGGCTTCTACCACACTCGTCCTTTCTATCCAGTTTTAAGAGAATAACCTTTTTTCTTCTTTCCTAAAACTATCGTTAGAAGTCACAAAAAGTGATTTTATTTTCTAGTTCTTCCTACGGGTTTGTGATGTTTGGCCACCTTCCTTCATGTTTTTAGAAAATTACATGGTTTGAGAGGAAAAAAATAAAGTGCCCTTCTGGAAAGTAGTAAGACAAAGCATCCAATTCATATTAAATACCTTTAGTTTCCCTCTGGTATCCCTAAAAGTGTCCAAGTCAACCTTAATCAACCTTTCCAAACAAGGTGGTTGGTGTAGCTTTCTTTGAAAACAAAAATTATGCAATCTTTTTTTTTTTTTTCTGGCATTATAAATCAGGGACTCATTTGCCTGCACCTCTCCCTACAAAAAGCCAACAAATTTTTCTTTTTAAGTAAGTTCCTAAACTCTGGACATTTGGAAATTGTTTCTCCCTTTGGCTAGAGGTAAATAAATAAAAACTTTTTAAAAAGGAATGGAAACAACAACAGCACCATCTAAAGACACACAGTCAGAACTTCTTGAAAAAGAACCAGAGATCAAGCAAATCTGAGCCTTCACTTTTCCGGTCAAAATGACAAATATAAGACTAATGCATTTTGCCCTTTGATGCTTAATACCATGAGCTAAAAGCAAAAAGCCCCATTTGTGCTTTGTGAGTAGAAATAACCTCAGTGGCTATAATTGGCACCGTGAGCACAGTACTAGCCGTAGCCTTTAAGCAGAGCGTGATTGCTTCTAGAGACTTCTTTTTGTTTTCTGCCAATGGCATTGTTTCTTTATAGCTGCACTAGGCAGCGATGCTTAGACCTGCACTGTCCAATACAGGAACCACAGGCCCACCTGTGCCCAGGTAGCAGCTGAAATGTGGCTATAGTCTGAGCCAAGACAAGCTATAAGTGTAAAATACACACTTGATCACGGAGACTTAGTACAAAACAAAGCATGAAGACTGTCTCACTCATAATTCTTCATAGCATTGAGTAGCTTTGCAATAACAATGCTTTGGATATACTGGGTGAGATGAAATATATTTTAAAAATTAACTTGACTTCCTTTTTAATGTGGTTGCTAGAATACGTAAAATCACAGGTATGCCTCACATTTGCCCAGCACGCTATATGTCACTAGACAACACTGCCTCACACCTTGGCTGATTTTTCTCAGCAGCCATCTCATTAGCCATCTAATCCTGAGATGCTTATCTTTCCACCACCCGCCAAACATTTGCATGATATTCTCTAGGGCCCCCCAAATACCAAGTGAATAATCTTCTAAAGACACATTTCCTGCCTCCATTTCCCTAAGGGCAGCAGAATAGAACACAATCTAACCTAGATCAGAGCTCTTACTGCCCATGGAGAGTCTAGTTTATTCCAGTCAGGCTGAGATACCAACCGTGATATCAATAAAACAGCCAGAGTTCCTGGGGAGAAAGGGACCTAGGCCAAGAATAATCGGGAAAGCGCATTAGTCACACACACACCACCCCCTAAAAACACTACATTCCAAACCCAGCATGAATACTTCTGAAACGTAGCCATGAATTTCAACATTTTCACAGCTTCCCTTGTGGAATTTCTTTAGTTCCTGCTCCTGGTGAGGGACAAAGTCGTAAGAAATCTCTCTGAAGTGTAAGCCACCTAAATCATATTGCTAATCCACATCACACCATATCCTTGCTGATGGTTCCCTGACTCCAATTGTGTGTGTGTGTGTGTGTGTGTGTGTGTGTGTGTGTGTATGAATCCATGAGTAAATTAACAATGAATGCTATGATATATTTTCAGTCATCCTTCACTTGCCACAGACTATACCTGAGTTGCATTTGGGGCTGTGCAGTGTCCCTGTATTTTGTCCTAAGGTCCAACAGAGCCTTGGTAGAAGCACACCTGTTGGTATGTGGAACATTTATTCACTTCAGGCACATACACATGCACTCATGGGATAGGATGCTTCTCAGAGAATCCTGAACTCCACTTTGAACCTAATCTGGACAGGGCCCAGAGCCCTTTCCAATCACTGCAGCTTTCGTGAGAAATACCACATTCTGTTTTTCTTCTAAGACCTTGGGTTACCCTTACCTTGACTTGCTCATTTGATGTTACAGCACAGAAAACAATCTCCGTAAATCCTTGGGATGGAAACATCCGGAAACAGATACCTCCAATAACACGGCCATCTTTAATTAAAGCAAGGGTTTTGTGTTTCCTGAAAAAATAAGATTGTATCAGTTTTACCTATCTTGGTTATATAAACATACTTTTGAGGGGATGTTCCTTATTAACCAACCAGGAAGGAGGGGGCAGTGTTTTTCTTGCGTTTCTATGGAAACCTTTTTATCTAGTCATCATCTCATCAGGCCATTCTTAAATGTGGACTTTTAGAGCAAGCTTTCCTGTACAAGTCTTCATCAGAGATTCCACCAGAACAAAATGCTCTGAGGTTTACAAATAAAGAACAGAGTACATGTTTCAGTATGGGAACAGGAGCCCAGGGTTGGGTGCTAGGGAGAAAGCACAAAGTCATGACCAAAGTGGCATATGTTTCTGAAAATTAGTCTTATTCAGAAATATTACGGATACATTATGGAAAATAATACAACTTGTACAAAATGTACAACTTGCAAACCATGCATTATAGAACCCTGTCTGATCTCCTTTCTGACTAAAATGTCACTCTAATTGTCATATGCATAAATCATAGTCCACACAGGCTATTGGGTATATATGTTAAAATACATTCACAATGGAGAAGTTTAGGTGCTGAGGTTTTTTTTTTAAAGGAATGAATTTTCAAAGTAAACTTGTCTGATATCCCAATAATTTTCCCAGACCCAGGCAACCATGATACCTAGTTAAAGCACCCAAATCAAGAATGTTTTGACTCTTAAAAAATTGGGGCATCTTCTTAGTGTTTATGTTCTTTCATTGCTACAAGGAATGAAGCATAGGACACATTTCAGCAAGGAATGAAGCATAGCCACATTTCAGCAACTTAAAACACAAAGCTTCATTATTATTAACAAAAAAATTTGTGAATTGTTGAAAAACTAATTTTAATGCCTTAGACGAGGAAATTAACTTAATGGATCCCTGTATCCACAGCGTGACAAGAGGCAGCAGGATTCACTGGTTGCCTATGGCTGACTTTCACTTTCTGAGTAGTTCCTCTTTCGTTTAAAAAGGTAGTAAGAAAAGAAGGAAGAGCAAAGTACCACTTACGGGTCAAAGACAAGCCGTGTGATGTACTCTTTGGGCATTCGGGGCAGCTGATGGGAGAACACGTTCTGTAGACCCACCAGCCACATCAGGATCTTCTTGTTGGGTTTCTGGTTCAGGGAGTTGCCGACCACATGAAATTCAATCACACCCCTCCGCTCTTCCATCCTTGCTGCCTCATCCCTGGCCGAATGTGCTGACAGAAGATTGTTCTAGGGTGCAGGAGACAGGAAAAAATTACACAGAGCTCATCTCTTAGGAGAATGGAGACAGGCCCTACCCAGTTTTGCTCAGTGAATAGCACATCTGCCTATAGACTGAAGGGTCCCAGGTTCGATTTCAGTCAAGGGCATATTCCCTAGTTGTGGGCTCGATCCCCAGTAGGGGTCGTGCAGGAGGCAGCCAATCAATGACTCTCTCTCATCATTGATGTTTCTATCTTTTTAAAAAATCAAGAGGGGAAGTGGGGGGAAGACAAGACAACATTTATAGTTTAAATTTTTCAAGATAGAAAGTTGAGGGAAGAGAAATGACTTGAACTGTGTGAGATTATTAGTAAGTTTCCCTGTGATGTGATATTCATCAAGGGGAAAATCACCTCTCCAACTAGCCTTTCCTGCCCTTCCCTACCCTGACCGCCAAGTTAAATGCAAACCAGGGTAGCGTAGCATGCTAATTCTCAGTGATTCTATCCCCATTTCAGACAGCTGGAGTGGCTAGGAGAGCAGAAGAGGTCTACCAGCTGGCTGCCAGGTTTACCCTGCTGACCTCTGGTCCAACCATCACTGCAGGGTCCGTGATGGTAGACATGACTTCATGGATTAATTCCATTGGAATATCTCCCATTACTCGGGGTTTCTTGGCCTCCTCCAAAACATGAGAGTCATTCATTTTCCTCTTTTCTCCTGTGATGATCAAAATAAAAGGGGAAACAATGGGTTATTTTAAACACAAACCAGATAACACATGTTGACCAATCCAACCAATTTTCTAATAACACTAATAGGTATGAAAGTCACATCTCCATTTACCCAAAGAAGAGGTGGCAATAGGAGGTGGAAAAAGCAGGAAGAATGTCACAATTACTGCCATCCATAGACCCATTCTGAACACTTACTATTTTATATGATAATTTTAACTTGATATATGAATTATTAAAGCATATATTATTTCATTTGTAAATGCAAGGAATTACGCTAGTTATCATTCATAATTAACCTCTAATTTAGTCCCTTTGTGGTCAGAGAACATACATAGTCCATGTAATAACAAAATAGCAAAAAAATTTGAAAATTGCTTTATGGCCTAAAGCATAACCAATTATTTATAAATGCATAGTGTCTTCTTGAAATAAATGTGTATTTTCCAATTTTTAAGAGCAATGATCTCTATATGTCCATTAGATTAAGTTTGTTGATCATGTTTTCAGGACTCCTATATTGTTACTGACAGTTTTATCTGCTTGATCTATGAATTATTCAGAGATGTTCTTTTGTTTTCAACTATTGGTTGATTTATTTCTCCTTGTAGTTCTGTTAATTCTCTCCTATATGTATGTATAAATATATTTGTATATATGTGTGTATGTATATTATGCCTGTATATATTTGAAATATACTAGTGAAATGGTGTAGTTTTTTTTGCTGGTGAAATTAATTTTTTCATTCTTTATCTTTCACAATGCTTTTTTGCCTTAAAATGATGGCTGACAAAGTGAGCAGGGCCATTCTCAACGGTTTACATGCTGGGAAAGGACAGGCAAAGACAAGGAAAACTTTCTCCCATTTAGAGTGTATGGTGTCTTTTTGTTTTGTTTTTTTCTACTATCATATGTGCAGGGTTTTTTTTTATATCATAGTCTGTATTTTTATATACAAATTAAAATTTTCCTGTGATGTAATATTCATAAGTATTAAAGTATTATTAACATTTATGTTCTAATCTACTTGATTTGTCAGGAGTAAATCCCACTAAGCATGTCTCCTTATAGTAATCTCACTATCTTTAATTAAATAGGAAAAGAGCAATGTCTAATATCTTGTCCAAAGAAGCTCAGCCACCAACCAGATAACATACAGAATAAGTGAGCTATTATAATAAACTAAAAGCCCAGTGCACAAAATTTGTGCAGGAGGTGGGGGTCCCTTAGCCCAGTCTGCACCCTCTCCAATCCAGGATTCCTTGGGGGATGTCCAACTGCCCTCTCCTGCCGGCCTGATCACCTCTACCTACCTCTGCCTCAGCCCTGCCACCGTGACTTTGTCCGAAGGACTTCCGCAAGATGTCCGGTCTAATTAGCATATTACTCTTTTATTAGTATAGATGATTATAGTTTTGTTTTAAGGCTCTTCATTTTGCATTGATGTGTTACACAGCAATAACTACCCAATACAGCTCAAAGTCATTTCCAGCCATCAAAATCCTGGACATGAACAATCTGTAGTTGGTCTAAGTCTACCTCTAGAACTTCTCATATTACAAAAGAACTTGTAGGGCAAATCACAGCCCTGTATTGTGGCCCCTAAGTGCCTACCTGGGTTTGCCTCAAGCCCAGAAGCGCCTTTGCCGGAAGGACTGCTGCTCCCTCCATTCGGCTGCTCAAGGGAAGATGAGTTTGAAGTGTATGAAATCGTCCCAGCCACAGGAGGTGGATTGATGACTGCCAAGAAAAGGAAAAGAAGGTATTAGATGACTCTTTCCTTGGGCAATGAGGAACCAAGTACACATGAGACCATCCCATTTCTGCCCAACACCACAAAGAAGTCATCTTTAAAATAAAAGCAATAGGGTCAATGTGAGCATGATAATAAACACAGTAATGGATTATAACCCACTGAATAGAATAGAAATATCTGAGTCCATACTGATAAAATCCTAAATGAACAGACAAATAAGCGGGGAGAAGGTAAAGCTCTTCCTTACAGACAAATGCCAACAACTAAATAAGAAAGGGACAATGTCATCCAGCATATAATAATTGACTCAGGGAGAATCATCTGTGCAGGCTAAACCTCATGAGTACAATTCTGATGAAGACAAGATAGTTTCTAAGTATTTCCCCACAAAAGTACCTATTTTTTTACTACAAAAGAAAAATGGTAGCATTGCAGTGGAGAAACCTTGTAAATATCACCTACAAACCTGAATGCCAACAGTAATGAGAGAGAACGTTATATACCTCCTGATATGAGGCAAAATTGCCATAAACCACATCATTGAGATAAGAGCCAAAAATGGACAATAGCCTGTCGATTAAACATTAAGGTGTAACCTTGCATCAAGGTTAAAGTTCCTTACTTTGATAACTAAACTCGCTAAGTAAGAGAATGGCCTTGTTCTTAGAAGATACTCACTGAAATCAGTAAGGAGGCATGGTGTTTGCAACTTTCAGATAGTTTAGAAAATACAGATAGATGATTGATAGATAGATAGATAGATAGATAGAGGGGAGGGAAGGGGGAAAGAGAGAAAGAGAGAGAGAAGGGATGATAAAGCAAATGTGGCATAATTTTAACCATTGATGCATCTGGGTAAAGTATACACAACATACAAAATTTTTGTTCTATTCTTGAGACTATTTCCAAAGACAACCTTATTTTTAAAGCCTTTGTAAGGAGTAGGATGTTGCTCTGCTGATTGGCGCTGATGAGGGATACAGACATTTTCAGTGACTCTGGTCCCATACGGGACCAAGCATGGACAATGCAGGCAGATGTCCAGAGAGAATGTTCACCTAAGTTTCAAGGCAGCCCCAGCTCAGTGTGCAGAGTACACTCCCCGCAGTCAAGACAGTGATGGAATGAGTAACCCAAGCAACAGAGAGACAACAGTCCACAGCACTCTCCACTGAACAGCAGTGAGTATGCAAAGACTCAGAATACACTGAAGCGCCAGGCTACACAGTGTTCCTTCCAGCACACAGGCCTCCTGACTTCCAAAGTACACCGGAGTGCGCTGCACCGAGAGGAAGCTCGGATGATTCTGCAGACATCTGAGTGCCTCGCAAACCTTCAGAGCCATCGTTATGAATGGCATTTATCATGCTTGCATAGAGGTGCAGACGTGCCAATTAAGTCGATGATTGCACTCTTCTTTCCCCAAAGAGAACACACTGCAATTAAAGCAGAACAGGAGGAGACAGCCTGGTTCTGACGGCTCCGGGTAATGCTGAAGAGCACAATCCAGCTTAACTGGGTTACAACCTTAGCCACAGGAACAGACACGTGATTCCCAGAGGGAGAGAGACAGCCTCTGCCTTTTCCATCCTGTGCTATGATAGATAATTTTCTGGAAATGGAACAGACCAGGTAGTGTTTTGAGCAGGCAAGGGTGAGGGGGACTTTTGAGCAGGGAGGGTCTCTCTGGAAGGCCCTCCACAAAGGAGCAAAGTTGACCCTGCTGAATAGCTTTGGTATCCCCCTGCCAGAAGGAGGAGACTGTTCTTCACTCATTCCTCCCACAAGCCTGGGCCTGCATATTCGCAACGCACAGCCAAGTGGCGGGATGTCGTGGTCAGAGCAGTGGCTCATAATGTAGTCTGGTGTTTAGGAATTAGCCAGACCTGAGGGGAAAAACCCAGTTCTATCACTTAACGACATCTGATCTTGGGCAACTCTCATCTACATAAAGGGGATAATAATAGCGACCTCCCAGGCTTTCTGCTAAGGCTTAAAGTCATGAAGCAAACCTCATGTCTTGCCTTTATGGAAATATTGGTTATGGAAATAACCAATATTTCCATAAAGGCAAGCACTTTATGGAATTATTGGTTATTATTACTGTGGCAACACTGGGTCTCTGACCATCCAGGGTCACGCTCATAGAAAAGACCTACAGAAAAAAAGTGGGCCTCCAAGAGCATGCAGTAAGCACGTACGAGCATGTATGACACCGTTATTCTCGAATATTGCTGCACATCAGAATCACCTGGGGAGCTTTTACAATGCCCAGGCCACACCCTAGGCAAATTACTCGGCACACTCTTGGGAAGGGACTCAGGAGTTAGAATTACTTTAAATCACCATGAGTGATGCCTTGTGCAGCCAAGTGTGAGAACCAAGGATGAGATATACTCAAGGCTCTGTGACAGTGGGGAGGAAAGGAGAGCAGTCCTGGCTAGAAGACACAGGAAGCATTAGGAAGGCGTTTGCGGAGAAATGCCATTTGCAAGCTAGCAGAGATAAAGGCAGATATATCGGACAGCACAGGGCAATACCGAGGACATGCCCAGTCACCACAGAAAACGCGCCCAGAAAATGCAGGTCTGGAAGGAGCATGTAATGGGCGCAGATAGACCCGAAAGCTCTACAGTCTTTGGACCAGAGAAAGATGAGACCACATTCTATGACCTAAGGTAAAATAAAAAATAAAAAAATAAAAAAGGCAAAGATGTGTTTGGTAACAAGAATGCAAAACAGGACGGGTTTGAGCCAAAACAAAATATCTCATTCTTTAAGTATTCTGCTTTGAATTTAAATATATTTATATTCAAACCTGGGCTCTAGGTGAAAACACACACACACACACATCCACTTTTAACCACCTTCTCAAATGTGTGAATCTGAGTAAAAGAAGCCAGACTCAAAAAGTTATGTACTATGTGACCATTCATATGACCTTCTATAAAAGACACACAAAAAATTATAGGAAAAGAAAAGTCTGTGGTAGCCAGTGCTGGGGGTAGAGCAATGAACGGACTACATAGAGCGCAACAGAATTTTCTGGGTAATGCAACTTTTATATCCTGATGACTATACAACGATATGTATTTGTCAAAATTCACAGAACCATTTCCTAAAAAGGGTGACTTATTTACTTTTTTTTTAATCCTCACCCAAGGACATGCTTAGAAAGAGGAACAGGGTGGGGGAGAGAGAGAGAGAGAGAGAGAGAGAGAGAGAGAGAGAGAGAGAGAGAGAGAGAGAGAGAGAGAGAGGCAGACATCTATGTAAGAGAGAAACATAGATCAGTTGCCTTTCGTAGGCGCCCTGACCAGGGATCGAACCTGCAACCAAGGTCTGTGCCCCGATTGGAAATCAAATTGGCAATCTTTGGGTGCCCAGGATGACACTCAACCAACTGAACCACTCGGCTGGGCAAAAAAAAAAAAAAGGTGGCTTTTATTGCACATAAAATTACTTTTTTTTAAAAACCAGCAAGAGCCGATACTGGTTTGGCTCAGTAGATAGAGCATTGGCCTTGTGAACTAAAAGGTCCCAAGTACAATTCGGGTCAAAGGCATGTACCTTGGTTGCAGGAACATCCCCAGTAGGGGGTGTGCAAAAGGCAACTGGTCAGTGTTTCTCTCTCATCGATGTTTCTTTCTTTTTTTTTTTTTCCTCATCGATGTTTCTAGCTCTCTATCCCTCTCTTCCTCTCTGTAAAAAAATCAATAAAATATATATTTTTTCAAAAAACAGCAAGAGCTGCCGGGTCCGGTTTGGATCAATGGATAGAGCGTCAGCTTGGGGAATGAAAGGTCCCGGGTTCGATTCCGGTCAAGGGCATGTACCTTGGTTGCGGGCACATCCCCAGTAGGGGGTGTGCAAGAGGCAGCTGATCGATGACTCTCATCGATGTTTCTAGCTCTCTATCTCCTCCCTTCCTCTCTGTACAAAATCAATAAAATATATTAAAAAAAAAAAAAAAAAAAAACAGCAAGAGTAAAATTGACTTTCCTGAAAGCGATACTTACCAGTGCCCACACTACACTCTGAGCTAGAGCTGCTAAAATCTCTTTAACGTCAAAATTCTGCATTCTGCCTTTCCCCATGGCCACATATCAATGACTGCTTTGGCACCTCCTGCCAAACTTCTCCGAATCCTCCAAGTATCAAAGGCAGGGATTCAGCTCCTCTCTCTGGAATCAGCCTGACTCCCCAAGTCACATGTCTTCCATTCCCACAACATGCCAGGTGATGCCACGGGCTGACCCAAGGCAATGCCAAGGATGTCCTGGCCCCACTGGGAAGTTCTTCATGTCCTGAGGCTCAAGACCGCTGTCTTCCACGCATCCTGACAGTAACTTGATACACAAAGCAGACATCACGGACTCAGAAACCAGGCTGAAACTTGATTCCTGGGCATATCAGGCAGTTGACAGAGACTCTGAGTGTCTTTAGAAAGAGCCAGCAGTGGCCTACAGGGCCAAGCTGCTGGCAGTTTACACCGGCCCTAAAATGGTAATGTGCACACTAAGCAAACCGAGTAGTAGGAGCAGTAGTTGTTTTCACTGATTTGCACCTGCTCTCCTCATTAATAGAGATGCAGATGCAAAATCTGCTGGCTCCTGTCTTCAATTTCTCGAAGAAAAACACAAATAAATGCAACGTGAGCTGAAAAGCAACACTTCCTGGTTGTTCTCTGAATGCTGAAAAGAAAAATTATTATTTTTTTTTTACCTGTTTGGATCCCTAGCTGGCTGGTTCTGGAAGAGGCCGACAGAAAGTCTTGATCCCAGATAGGAGAGTTTTGACTATAAACTTCTTCTTCTAACATGGACAGAAACCTAGACACAAGGGTAAGAACAACAGCAAAATCAAAAACAAATATACCGCCAGAGGGACAGAAGCTAGCCCTCTATGTCAATTACTGAACATCAGCATGGCACCATCAACTCAGAGACAGACAACTCAAATGATGATTGTTAGTTGGACGGTGCTGGCATAGTTAAACACAGAAATCCATTTCTACAAATTTATTTTCTTGGACTCTGTATAGACTGAGTCTCAGCAAGGCCTCGGTCCCACAGGCAGTTGTCAATATCAGTCATAACCGTGACAAAAGTTGCTAACATTTCTCGAGTGCTTGTTCTGTGCCTGCACTGTTCTAACTTCTTGAATCCCCAATGTGAACTCCACGAGTAAAATACTTTACTTTTAATTATCCCACACACATATAGCTCTCATTCACATGATTCTCATAACCTTACAGATGAAAAAACGTACAGCAGAGAGAGGTTAAGTCACTGGTACAAAGCTCCACAGCTAGTCAATTCAGGACCAAGAATGAACCAGTGATTCATTACCAAGTTTTGATACTTCCTGTCACAGTATAAACCAAGTGGACCTCAAGTTTTGGGGGCCCACAGAAATTACCTGGAGACCTTGATACTTCCTGTCACAGTATAAACCAAGTGGACCTCAAGTTTTGGGGGCCCACAGAAATTACCTGGAGACCTTGTCTGAAATACAGCTACCCAAACCCCACCTAGACTTAATGAATCTGAGTCTGTGAGAATGGGCCTTGGGGAACTACATTCTGGTTAAGTACCTTAGATCAGTGGTCAGAAAACTCATAAGTCCACAGAGCCAAATGTCAACAGTGCAACGATTGAAATTTCTTTGGAGAGCCAAACTTTTTAAACTTAAACTATATTAGCTGAATTAGGGTACTCCTAAGCTGGTCTTGGCTAAAAACCCAAGGGGCCAAAGAGCTGCATGCGGCTCGCAAACCGCAGTTTGCCAACCGCTGCCTTAGACAATTCTTACATACATCAAAACGGAAGAACTGCAGTTAAAACATCAACACAAATCTACACTCCTGGCACTGGAATGTCCCCCTGCAGACCACTTTTAAAGCACATGCATTCGAGTCAAAGAACAAGGATACTGGCTGAGGGCTTGGGTTCTAGAATCCATTGACGAAGCTCAGCACTTACTATTGATAGGATCTTAAAAACAAATTCTTAATTCTCATCTTTCCTAGTTTTCTCTTTTATAAAATGGAAATACCAACAATAGTTCCTGCACAGGGCGGTCATGAGGGATAAGCTAATGTTTATGCATAAAATGGCATCTGACCCCTATTAAGTGCTCTATTCACTCAATAAATATCAACTGCCCCCTTCTATGTTCCAGGCACTGGATCAGGTGCAGGAGGGACAGGGTGAACAAAACAGCCACATGCCCTCAGGAAGCGTGATGGTGTAATAAAGGTTAGCTCCTATAAGCCATCTGCATCCCTCTGCTGAAACTGTAAAATCCAAAAGCTCTTAGAAAAGGTTTTCCATGACCCATTTGGCAGCAAAATCTGACCTTACCATACATAAGACTATTTATAGTCTTCATAATTATAAACGATTTAATTTGAGGGAATTCACCTCAGCCCTAGAGCTGTGGCATACAGCACATGTGTTATATTAATTGCCTTTATAAAATGTTTAAGCTTTTGAGTTGTAAAACTTACCTAGTATAATACTACGATTTTAGATAACTGATCAAAGACCTGTTCTGGTCATCATCATCATCATATCATTAATACTAAAAGTACCAGTATTCTTCTCATGTATCAATGCCTGCAAGATTTTAGACCGTTTAGGGAGGGACGTTGGTTTTTTGGAAGTGAAAGCAGATAGGAAAAGGTAGTGTCTTCTGACTTGCTGCTCATAGAAGATTTACAAACAAGGAGGTACCATCTGAGTGAATACCTAGCCTCACTCGATGATGTAATTCATGAGTCACTTCTCCTTGCTAAGCAAGCCATGGTGAAGGCATGTTTTAAAACACTTCAAGACCCAGAGATAAGGAGCCATGGGTCAACCTGTTGGACCTCAGAGGGAGGGTGAGGATAAAAGGGAGAGATCAACCAAAGGATTTGTGTGCATACATATGAGCCTAACCAGTGGTCAGGAACAATAGGGGTGTGAGGGCATGAGTGGGGAGGGGTGGGGGATTGGCATGGGGAGTTGAGGACAAATATGTGAGACATTAGTCAACAAAAAAAAATTAAAAACACACACACACACACACACACTTCAGTATATTTCTTACCACACACATTCAGACAGACGGCAACAGGAGCTAAATTCCTTCCTAAGATCACTTGTGATCTCACAGAGGAGATTCCTGATTCTTTTCCCCTTTTCCTAAGCAGACCTGCCTTTCCCTTATACCACCCTCAAGATTTCCCCACTGCCCTGTCACAGAAGTAAATTCCCTTTCTTTTTCTGGGCTCCCTCTTTGTTCAGTAATTATACGATCAGCAGGCTCTTCACAGAGCTGGGCACAGACTCTACCAAAGAAAAATGCCATTAACTTTGGGAATAATTACAGGTGTGTTATATATGTACACACATACGTGGTTATTTCATTATAATAAAAAAAAAAAGTTTTGTATGATGACACCGAAAAGGGCTTGTTTTATAAACACAGGAACACAAAATTGTATGGAGAGTAAAAGAACACCATACACGGTCAATATATAGAAATATCTAAAAGCCCTGATGATAGGGCTATGGCTGATGTTTTGCTTCTTAACCGAGTTTTCATCAATATCCCTTAAGTGAAATATAGATACTAAACCTTTTTAACAACCACCTTGTAAGCAGGTCGATGGGGGAAGGGGGGGCCAGGGGAGAAGGCGGCAAGAGTTAAGGCCAAGTGGAAGAGAGGACAGCGTATGAAGAGGAGGCAGGCAAGGAGGAAGACCCTGAAAATGCCTCTGAGGACCACGTGACCTCCCGGGGTGGTGTGGAGGGGCTGCAGCTCTCACTGGGCTGGGCGGCGATGGTGCCCAAGACTCAACCAGCACCTCGGGCTTCAGCACGAGTGTGATTCCGCTGCCAAACCTGTGGGAATAAATGCCTAACAGCCTCCCATGTTGTCCTAGTCCATGAATAGAGGTTTCAAAGGAGAAGAGAGTGGTAGTTCTACCCTACCATTAGTAAGAGAGAAGAAAAAGCAGCATTGATTAGCTCCATAGCAGGAGCATGCCAGAACTTTGGGCTGAAGGAACAAAACACCCTATAATTAGCAAATATCTGCAAGAAGCAAAATGCATGTGCTATGGGGGGAGGAGGGAGGGGGATTGTTACTAAGCAAGGTAATTAAAATTTCTCTTTAAGCACCATCCACCGTGGGGGGTGGGGGAGGGTCCTCTCTGTCCCTTAACTTAGAGACTGAATGACAACTATAATTTGAAGACACAACATGCCGCTTCTGTAGCAAATGTAACAGAGGCGTTGGTAAGACAATTGCTTTAAGCTCTAAGGAGAGGTGCTTAGGCTAGCTAAAAGGCAGCCACCGACAGATGAGCATGCCCAGAGTTCATAAACCACTGAGGGGCAACATCTACACTGCAGAGTAAATGCTTCTGAATCTTCCCCTGTGGAGGAAGCCAGATTGCTCGTGTCATGCCTCATTCTAGCTGCCAGTTTCCTCAAAAAGAAAAAAGACTGAAAATCGGGGTGCCAGGAGCTACGTGTGAATATTGGACATTCAGCAAAATCTCATCAGATTCACCCAAGACAGCCTTTACCTAGGGCAGTGGTCATCAAACCGAGGCTCACAAGAGCCACATACAGCTCATTGGCCCCTTGAGTGTGGCTCTTACACAAAATACCTTGGGCGGGCAGGCACGTACAGTGCGATTGAAACTTTGTGGCCCATGCGCAGAAGCCGGTTTTCGGCCTGGGCGAGTCTATTTTGAAGAAGTGGCCTTAAAACACTCAAGGGGCCAAAGAGCCGCATGTGGCTCGAGAGCCGCGGTTTGCCGACCACTGACCTAGGGCTTAGGAATTGTCTTAAGCAACAAAGGAATTTCCCGTCCATTTCTACCGGGAAATCATTTTTGTTGTTGTTTTGGACCTCACTTATTGTTTAAAATTATCTTTCCTAAGGCGCACACTGGGTAATCCAGTAATAGTAACTTTACTAATAAAAAAAAACCGGTTTCGCAACGTTGGCCGAACTCTACGCCAGCAGTTCTCGACAGTGTGGAGAAGGAAGCTCTATCAGACCTAGAAAGCCTCTCCGATGATAACTTCCCTCCCTCCAGGCGCTGCTTCAGGCAGACTGACACCCGCAAAACCCATCCGCTCCTGCCGGCTGTCATGGCTCCAGGACAAGCCATCCGCCGCACACCCAGCCCTTGTCACCGGCAGCCAGTCTCTGAGCTGACAGATCTGGTCCTCAGACTGGAAAATGCACTTCCCAGGTCTTCCACGCATTGCCTTCGTTTGAAAAAACATTTAAGTGATTATTCCTATGTTGGAGCTCTGGCGGGTGCGGGAAGCAAGGTGCACAAGAGCATGTGTGTATTCTCCGTGACACTGAGCATGGAGGCACCAAGATCACTGTGAAGGAGGCCTCTCTCTTCCAGTCCAGCCCCAACCTTGGGGTCTAGTTTACAAAGGGCCATGGGGGCAGGTCCCCTGTAACAGAGGCAGGAGGCCTTTGGCAGTCTTAGAAAGGGTTGGGGAAATAGAATGGAAAAACAAACAAACAAACAAAAAAACAAAACAGCCGCTTGAGCTCTCTTGCACCACTTCTGAGTAGATGGAAACTGCTTCTACACGCACGCGTGCACACACACACACACACACACACCCATCCCCCTCTGGCTTCCTGGCAGCTGACTTCACAAAACAGAGCACCACCCGATTCTGTGAAGCTCAGAGACAAGGACACCAGGTGGGATGAGGTGCGGCAAAGAGAGGTGTGACTGGGGCCAACACAAACTCAAGCTGATGGTGCACGATGCCCCAAGAGGATGCGGGGAGGGGGCAGAGGAGGGGGCCCCTTTGTCCCTGCTCCCCGGATGCTTTTCCCATCATTCCCCAGGTCGTTAACTGATGCAGGCTTTGGCAGGCATCTATCAGCTTCAGGCCCCCAGACGAGACGGAGGCTTGCTGGAGTGCCCCCTTACTTTGGGAAATGGGTGAGGATTAGAGTCCGTTTCTCCAGGGGCAGTTTGTCTTTCTCCTGTCTTGCTTGTTCCAGGAGCTGGCGTCGCATCACGGTGAAGACGGAGCGAAGCAGGGTTCTCCCAAACACCTGGGTGGTTTCATACCGAGGTAGACTGTCGCAGAACTGGGGTACGTTGCAATAACACAGCCACCTGTGACGAGAGGGGACAAACCCCCCCAGATCAGTGGAGATACCCAATTACGGTTCCTCTCAAACCCTTCACCGCAGCAGGAGACACTGGGGCTGCCATGATAAGCAATGGCTCCACCACCAGCTAGTGAAACCTGCGAATAAGATTAGCTTGCCCTTATACCACCACTTGGGTCCAATTCTAGGAAAAGTGTTCCATTCTGTAGTACTCTGCAGTGAGTCCTGCGGACAGACAGCCCGGAATCAGCTCCCTGCTTTGTCACTTCACTGGTTGCATGACTTTGGAGATTTAATTACGCTCTGAAGTCTCCATGTCCTTACCTGTAAAAACGGGGAACAGCAATGCCTACTGCCCTGGGCTGTTAGGAGCATTATATGGGCTACTGTGTGGAAAGTGCAATTAAGAGTTTCTGGCACCTAAATAGCAGTTTAGATAAAAGAAGAAATGACAGGGGAAGCTTTTGTGAAAGAATCAGATTTCTAATATCTAGTCCCCTGAATAAAATTTCGGGTTTCTTTAAAATGCCTACATAGCATGCAACATAACCCTACCCCCCGACCGCCACCGCCTCCAGAAGCTTTGGTGGGAAGATAAAGATCTTCAAGACTGCTCACAACTCAAGTCAAAATGCAGGAAGTAATCAGCTTCCACCATCTGTTGCTTAGGTACATTTTCAATGACTCAGACTCAAGGTCAGAGCACCGCACGAGGCTGGAGGAGTACCCAGGCCCAGAGGGGGAGCCTGGGGCTTTCTCCAGCTCTGACCGCAGCTCTGGGGTTCGCTGGCTATGTAGGATGTACGCTGCGGAAAGCACATTCAGCACGGGGAAGCGATCCACAACCATCCCTCTTTCTTGTTGATCTCCCAGAGCTGCAAAAGCTCATTCCCAGGACCAACAACATTCGTGGACAGTCAGGGGGTTCCAGGGGGCGGGCGGCCCCAGACCAGAGGAGGGTCAGAAACTTCACTGCAGATCCTTATTCCTTGGCAGCAGATCTAAACATCCTCTCCCAGGGCAGGCCTGCTTTCTAACCATTAAAATCTAGCCCCCCTGCCATGTCTCCCTGATCTCTTTAAAGTGAGGGGAAGACCTCCGAGCAGCTCCGGGAAGCTCCCCAGGAACTCTCAGCCCCTTACTAAAAAGTGGAATATTATTAATTTACTTCTGTTTACTGACTTGTTTTTGTTGTTGTTTTTTCTTCTTCTTACTCTGTATTGCTTCACATTGTGTGTGTGTGTGTGTGTGTGTGTGTGTATATGTGTTTTTTTTTTTTTTTTTGTGTGTGTGTGTGTGTGTGTGTGTGAGAGAGAGAGAGAGAGAGAGAGAGAGAGAGAGAGAGAGAGAGAGAGAGGGAGGTTTTCATCTTTGGAAAAGAGAACTTTCATTAGTGTTAGTCTGTCTGCTTATATTTAAAATTAACCTTAAGCCAAAACTGGTTTGGCTCACTGGATAGAGCGTCTGTCTGGGGACTGAAGGGTCCCAGGTTCGATTCCAGTCAAGGGCATGAACTTTGGTTGCGGGCACATCCCCAGTGGGGTGTGTGCAGGAGGCAGCTGATCGATGCTGCTCTCTCATTGATGTTTCTCTCTATCTCTCTCTATTCCTTCCTCTCTGTAAAAAAAATCAAGAAGATATATTTTAAAAATTAAATTAAATTAACCTTAAAACCCCTGCTATCTTTTATAATCTCCACTCAACTTTTCTGTCTTAATAATTTGTAGTAAAATGTTGCCGAAACCAGTTTGGCTCAGTGGTAGAGCGTCGGTCTGTAGACTGAAAGGTCCCAGGTTCAATTCCGGTCAAGGGCATGTACCTTGGTTGCGGGCACATCCCCGGTAGGGGGTGTGCAACAGGCAGCTGGTCGATGTTTCTCTCTCATCGATATTTCTAGCTCTCTATCTCCATTCCTCTCACTAAAAAAATCAATAAAATATATATATATTTTAAATGCCATTTTACAATTGCAATGCCAAAATGGGGATCTTAAGTGTTGTGTTGCATTTTGTCACGCCAGAAACAGTGATCTTGGTGGGTATAGTAGGAAAAAAACACATCTGTCATAAAATCCTAACATGTTACCCAGAACTTTCTAGTCATTTCATCTTCCCAGTGTGGAGAAAGAGAGCATAGATTGTTATCATCTAGAAACATTTTCCCAATAATAAGTTTCCACTCATTTCCTTGAGTATGCTTTACAGACCTCAGTTTAGACATGTTAGTTTACGTTAGCTTTGTTTTTACTTCCAAGATGGGTCTTATCTTATAAATCTGTAAAGTGCACAGTATGATTAGACAAAGAGACTGAGTCTGAGTGTGGCGTTCTAATAAATGATGGGGAGGGGGTAGGGAAGGCCTGTACCGAGGGGGAGGGGAGGCCGGGGGAAGGTCAATGGGGAAAAAAAGGAAACATGTACAACTACTTGTAATACTTTAAACAATAATTTTTTTAAAAAATGACATGGGGGTTGCATGTAGTGAGATGGAAAGAAGAAAATGGGAGTTTGTGTGTCTAGTCTCTGCACACACATTCCTCCAAAGACTTCACTAGAGAAAACAATTTTGCCCAAATGACTGCTTTTGGGTCTTCTAAACAGAAATAAAAGGTATGTGTACCCTATTATTTTTTAAAAATATATTTTGTTGATTTTTTACAGAGAGGGATAAAGAGTCAGAAACATCGATGAAAGAGAAATATCGATCAGCTGCCTCCTACACACCCCCCACTGGGGATGTGCCCGCAACCAATGTACATGCCCTTGACCGGAATCGAACCTGAGACCCCTCAATCCGCAGGCCGACGCTCTATCCACTGAGCCAAACCGGTTTCGCCCAATGTATCCTATTATTAATAATTCAAATAACTCAGTTTTGTGTTTGTTTTTTTTACAACATCATGATGCTTTGCCACCACCTTGCTTTCTTTAACACATGACTAGACGTGGAGAGTTTGAGGGCAGGAGACCCAACTTACTTGCTGACTGAAAGCCCTAAGGTTTTCAGGGTTTAAGTGGCCTCTCCCAGTTCATCAGAACTCAGGGCTGGTTACTATTTGCGTTCAGACTAGAAGCTAGGTCTCCTATTCACTAGTCCCCTGTTCTTTCCATGCCTCTTGATAAATAGACTTACATGCCTAATTACGAATACTCTGTAAGCGTGGTGGCTGGCTATACTTCATAAAGCAACGATTACCTGAAACAGTTTCACAAAATCAACTTAAGTTCTATCTAACTTGCCCTGTAGTCTCACGAAACATCTCCACACTCTAGAAGTGACATTAACTTTCAAAAGTTCTGCACAACTCAGAATCGCAGACAAACTATTTCCCACTTTCCTTCAGCAGATTCTGTTGGTCAGATGTATTTCAATACATCATATTTTTCTGCCACTTATATTTCCAGTTATTTCTTCTTGGGATTATATGAGTGCACCATCATGAAATTCAGGAGATTTCAAATTTTTGCCCAGATTTTTTTTTCTTTCTAAACCCACAGTGATTTGGGGGGAATATGTATAATGTATATTTGATATGTACCTATATTCATTATTAGATATAACTTAATATCAATATCAAGTAGTTTTAATACAAAATATAGTTTTCTTTTATTTAGAACAGAAAATACAAGCCACTTCAATCTACACATAAATTTCTACTGGATAAAATGTCAAGGGTTAGCTCTGCAATGTCTGGATTCATTTTCTGAGCCCAGTCTTTTCCACGGAGAATCCTAGTTCACCCCATTTTCATGCTGCTGTGAGCCCCAAAAGTTTTCAGCCCTTTTTGTTCTAATCGCAGCAATTGCTGTAAATTATACGCTGAGCCAGCGGTGCACATCCTAACGCTCGCTTGCACATCAAGATAAAGTCTAGTGGTGCCTGCAGCCTGTAATATTACCCATTTTTTTAGGAGATTGGTATCAGTGAGACACCCTGTCGCAGTGATGTGTGGTTTTTTTTAATCCCCAAGTAGTTATGACAGTGAGGTTTACCCTGAAGCAACCGTTCTCATACATTTCACAGGTTGTCTCTACTTCCCTTTCTTCGTCAACATGGCGTGATGGTGGGGAGGCGGGGGAGGTGTGATCTGCCTTCATTTCCTTATTTATTATTAACAGAGACTCTTGGTCTACCTTCTACCTAGAAATCAGCAGGTTTCATAACTCATTGGGGCGTATTCATTTCAGTCTCTCGGCAGTTTCTCTTCCTCACTCCTGGACTCAGCCCCTCTGCCTCAGCTGTTGGCCCAGGATGCCGGGCTGGAGAGGACCCTGCTGCTGTCTTTCTCCTTCTCGCCTTCGTTTCTGAAGTGATACTTCAATAGGCACACTCATCCCACTGTACGTGCTCTAGCTTCAGAACCCCATGCTGGCGGGGACTGACTGGGTTTTAGGCACCAGCATGAGTGGGAGGAAACTGATGACTAGCATCTTTCCAGCCGCCGTTCTGAGTGCCAGAAACCACGCACAAACCGCCTCCTGGAGCACTCACAGCGCGTCTGACACTTGGACAGAAGAAGCAGCTGAAGGTCAAGGAGGTGAAGTGACTGGTCTAAAGCACCCAAAACCGGGAAGAAATGGAGCCATGATTCAAACCCAGCCCTCACTCCAAGCTTAATTTCTATTTTTACTACTCCTTAAGTATTCCTAAACTCTACCCATTTCTTGGTAAATCCTAAGTGCTAATAGTGTTTATAGTCTGCTTTGTAAAAAACTGTAATATCTTCCATGCTACTTCACTTTTAATTCTCCTTTTTTTAATACATATTTTATTGATTTTTTACAGAGAGGAAGGGAGGGTGATAGTTAGAAGCATCTATGAGAGAGAAATATGGATCAGCTGCCTCCTGCACACCTCCTACTGGGGATGTGCCCACAACCAAAGTACATGTCCTTGAACGAAATTGAATCTGGGACCTTCCAGTCCACAGGCTGATGCTCTATCCACTGAGCCAAACCGGTTAGGTAATTCTCCTTGATAAAACAATCTTTCCTCTGTTAAGAGTGGCAAATACTTTCAGGGATTTGGCGCTGACAAACATTCAGCTTTGTCAGTCGTCTACAGATGAGGTTAGAAGATATTTATGTTTTAGAAATGTATTTTATTATCTCAACTCCTACTTTAAACAGCAATTACAACAAATAGAGGAATTGTTGTTAATGTAAAATTCTGAAATGGAGGTACAGATAAGAAGATTTAATTTAAAAACTGATTTTGATGAAATCTGTAATCCCTCTAAAAGTCAATTTAGGAGAAAATACTTTATAATTCAAACTGCATATACTGTAAAAGGGGGGAAGAAAGAGGAAAAAGGTGTATTTATCTTGAAATCAGGCCAATTATTAGAAAGGAAGGCTTATCTTAAATTATATCCAACCCTGCATGTCATCTGCTATTACAGAGAATAACCTGGGACAAGGGGTCTTTACAGGCAATCAAAAAACACTCCGTACTTTAAATCAGAAACACTTATATGCTCCATAATACCCTCTGAAGCAAGCTTGCCGTACCTACAAAAATCGATGGCAAAAGATGTAACAAGGTGAATAGAATGGATAATCCAAGTCACCTTCTTACTTTAATGAAAACAAATGTAGGTCATTCTATTTTGTATGGCCTATGTTTAAGATTTTTAAAGGCAATTTTATTGTTTTGCAGATCATAAGAAATAAAAATAAATTCCCACTTTTAAAAAAATGTGCAAAAGAATACTTGCAGAGTTTGATGCCAAAAAAAAAAAAAAAATAGGAAAATGGTTAGGTAAATTATGGTACATCAACTCAACAGACTGTAATGTAACCTGTGAGATGATGTTAAGTGGGGAGACAAAAGGATGAAAACTCTGTACTTTCTTTCATTCTAACGAATATGAAATATTCAAAGGGGCAAAGACTGGAAGACAATATATTTAATGATATGAGTTCTGTCATGATGCTGGGACTAGGGTGATCTTTCCTTCTTTAAAAAAGTTCTTTAGCTCTATTATATTCACTGCTTTCCCCTCACCCCAAACACCTCCCCCCTCATTGATTTTAGAGAGAAAAAGGGGGAGGGAGAGATAGAAACATTGACGATGAGAGAGAATCACTGATTGGCTGCCTCCTGCATGTCCCCAACCCACAACCTAGGAATGTGCCCTAAAACATCATCATTGATGTTTCTATCCTTCTCTCCCTCTTCCTTCCTCTCTCTGAATTGAAGTCACCATAAAAAATAATAATAATAAAATAAAATAAAAACATTAAAAGAAAAGTAGGAATCTGGAGACATGCTAGCATCTCTGAGTTGGTGTCACCATGACTGGACAGCCCTCGCTTGCAGAGACAAGTAGCCATTTTATGTGTCCAGTGTGCTCTCCAGGGCCCACAGGAAAGGAGCTGGTCACCTGCTTACCTTGTGTAGTTCTCCTTGTATCCGGAGATGTCATCATTGGGAGAGCGCAGCCTTCGTTGCGATGGTGCCTCCAGATGCCAATAGTTGATGCGGTTCAGGAACATTTTTGCCAACTCCACTATGGTCTGCCTTTCTTTGGATGGCAGGTGACTGAACTTGTACTGTACAAAGTTATTCACGCCCTTAAAAAGGAAGGAAGGCAATTTATTCATGTCACTGTGCAATCACGCTAATTCTGAACACCCACAGAGTCAGCACCATGGGTGGTGTCTTGGCAAACGAAGACATTTCTCTAGTCACAAAAATCTTCTTTTCCCCCTATTAGAAAAAAGGAATGCCCAGAGGGAATCATGCCTGAGATCACAGCGAGTGCAAAGTGACAAGACAGGGAGGCTGTGAGCTGCAATTCTCCGCCTGCTGCAATCCTGACAGGTTAAAAAGAAAAACAAAATCGCAGGCGGAAAAGGTCAAAACCCCTCCAACAATAGAATGGGACTGTTTTTGCAGAATAATTCTTGCTGTATTCTCAACACAGTGGCTCACCTATAATGATGATCTTGGACAGATATAATGTTTTTGCCTTAGCAAAATTTTAATGAAAAGGCTACTATTACACCTTCCATTGAATTTACACTCCATTTGAATTTAAACTCTTTATTATCACTCTCAGTTTCAGAAAGCTAAGAAAAACAAACAAACAAACAAAACTAATTCAAAGTCATGAGCTTTTTAAAAAAAATCTGTGGAATAATTTAATCTTTTTGTAGAACACTCCCATTTATTCTAATGTCAAATAGAAGGACAATGGATTCTTATTTAATACAGTTTGGAGGCAAACTTTCTTCTACTGAAAACTGACTGATAAAAATACATCTATTTGTAAGGACTCTGATAGCACCATGATCTTCTGTAATCATCCTCATCAAGAAACTCAGTCCAGGATGAGATTTAGTCAGCAGATCAATGATAGGCTAAAAAAAATGATGCTGATGAAAGATACTGACAACACCTAACACAAAAAAAGTCTACACATGTCAACAGATTCCCTGAATAAATCGGCTTCCTTCCAGGAATCACAATGTAGCAGGAAGTCAATTTCTGGACATAAAAAAATCTCATCTCTTTATTGCATTCTTTGCTGGACTTTACAATGTTTTTCACATTGCTACTGAATTCCTTCACCTCAACAGTCTTTTTCAGACAGTGCCGAGCGAAAGGACAAAGGCTCAATTTTTAAATGTCAACAGCAAGGAAAAGCACATTTCATGTGTTTTCACGAACAACATGTTCTACTTCGTTGTTTTCTTCCCCCAGCACACAGTGAATTCTGAGTACAGAGCAACCCGAAGAGACAAAAGCTAGCTCATTTATTAGATTAAGTATTCACTTCTGAGCCAAAGCGTCCAAGACAGTTTCTACAGCCTTGGTGAACATCTCTGGATCAGGTGTGGAGGGCGGGAAACAGACGTGAGCAGAAGATGAAAAGGTTTGTTTAACCTTAAAGCGATAGGAAAGGGGCTTCTCATTTTTCTTTTTACCTGTTCGATGCTAGGTCTTTCAAATGGGGGCTTCTTCTCCAGAGGGCCTTCAACCACAGGTTTTCCTCTTTGTAAAATAGACTTCCTCAAGAGCTGCAAAGAAACAATTTTTAAAAAATTAATCAAAGCCTCTCTGCCTGTCTCTCTCCCTCTCCCCCCCCCCCCCTCTCTCTCTCTCTCTCACACACACACACACACACACACACACACACACAGCCTTTGAAGGGAAGCCACCATATTCTATTTATCTCATCAACAGGCAAATAAATCCTTAAATCAATGAATTGGGTGACTACCAGGTAACCCAAGTTCACCTTCCCACCCATGACCAGAGCTATGAGGAACTAGACACATTTCACCTTCTGGGCATCCTAGAGCTCCCGGCAGTGGCCACCAGACCCCTCTATCCACTCCCTTCCCCCTCTCCCTACTCTGTACCAGAGGCCTGTGTACACCATGCAAACTTTGCACATGCCCATCTAGAACACCGCAGGAGGGCTGCCACTCCAGAGTGTCTCGTTTAAGCTCCTGGAAGGCTGAGGTCCATTTTGCACAAAGGAGGTGGGGGTGGGGTGGGGCGGGGTGGGGTGGGGGTAAGGTGGGGTGGGGCTGGCTGTAGCAGCTGTACATCATAGGCATAATCTATGGGGCCCAGCCTCTTTGGGAAGGAATTCTGCAGGGCTCTCAACTGGCAACTCACTGTTTCGGTCTCTTTTATTTCCTCTGGATCCACAGAATGCAGGCCAAGCATTCTGGCACCTCAATACCCACTAAACAAAACACTGCTCTTAATCCCTGCCCCTGGAATGTCAAGCCCTCCAAGAGGAAACAGCAGAGAGAAAGAGAACAGAGAGCCACGCTAATCAAGACCTGATTTAAAAATAAATGTAACACTGAAATTCTTAACTTCCACCTTTGCTTGAATCTTCTGTAACCTTTACATGTGGGTCTATTACGATAGAAGACCCTGAATCTATTTAAGTTACTTTTGCCCTCCTTTCTCCACTTACTGTCTTTTCAACAGAAAAAACCAAGGCAATCATTCTCCCAGGGGTTCATGAAAATGAACCCCCAAAGTTGAAGGTCATCATGTGTCCCCACTGGGTATGTCCTACAAGGGCCCTGTAAATTATTAGGGTACATCACTTGTTGATCCTGAGGGTGTGTTATGTCCATGTTTACCAAGAAAAAATGTGCAATAAGTGATTTTAACAATATATATAAATTGACCATGAAATTTAAATACAAATCATTCTGGTTGCCTATATGAAAATAAGACCATTTGTGAACTTGGCCCATTGGGGGTTTCAATTGAGAAATAAGCTGATGGTTTGGGGAGATGCTGAATCTCATTCCCCTAAAAAAAAAAATGAAGCTTGGATAAATGGTTATATAAACGACATTTAAGAATAGCAGCAAGCATTTGCATCCTTAATTTTGCCAGGCACTCTTTGTAGTTCTTTGTATATATTTCCTAACTTAATAGTGATAGCAATCTTTTGAGGTAGGTGCTATTATTATTTGTATTTTACAGATAAGGAAACTGAGGGAAAATGACTTGCCCAAGGTCACATTGAGTAAGGATTTGAACCCAGATAGCTGGGCTCCAGAGCCCCATACACAGGCGCTAGGATACACTGAGCTTTAGAAAGCAGCTTTTCACTGAGTTTATTTTCCACATCTAAGACTGAAGGTTTTCTAATGCTACCAAAATACATAAGGCATTTTAATTTCATTATTGAGGCATGTAAGACACAGCAACTGCCTTTCAAACGCTAAGAAAGGGTGATTTAGAACTTACTTTGCCCAAAGAATGATTTTTTTTTTTTTTGAGGGGGGGAAAGATGGGGGATAATACTGAATATTTTGGATTTGGCTCCTCAAGCAAATCTATTGGCACTGCTGGAGATGAGGGAGGTAAGAAAGAGAGAAAATGTACTTCCAGGCAGAGCAGTGCTTCCTGGCCTATTTGGTTGGTTATAAACAAAACCGAGAGGAGGCTGACAGGATGGAAACACTGATACCACCTTCACTTCCAACAGGGCAGCGGGGGACTGCCAGGGAGCTTCGTTCCAAGGCAAATAATAGCTGCAGTCAAGCAGGCGTTGTTTTTCTTCAATGAAGATCTTTTTCCAAAGAAGCTCTAAACAGTATAAACCTGCCAGGGTTCAATCTGATGACTCAGGCCTCACAGCCCTGTCAACAAGCTGCCACCTGGAGTAGCCCAGTGCCTGCTAAAGGCTGTGGGGAATTCAGCTATTCATTCATATCCTCCTTCTTTTCTTCCCTCCCTCCGTCCCTCATCTTCTTCTCCTTCTCTTTCTCCTCCCAATTAACCCTTTTATAGTTAATATCCCCAAATGACCCCAAAATTTAAAGATATAATTCTCCCTCCCACTATCCCCTATCTACCCCAAACACACTATTAGGTAATAAAAAGGGAGAAGGGAAAATGACATATCAAGTAAATTCAGACAAAAAAAAAAAAAAAAAAAAAAAAAAAAAAAAAAAAAAAAGCTATAGAAATTGGACACAAAATTTTCACCGAGATTCCTAGCAACCAAAGCAAAAGAGGGAACTCAATGGAAAACGTACCTGTCCTTCTCACATACAATGAAGCCCAGCACTCATTAGAAGAAGCAAGGGTGTACCCTGGCTGTAAGCTCAGAGTGGCGTGTCTTGGTTTTTGTATTTGTTTTTAAAGATCCTTAGAAAGGTTACACACTCACAACATAATTCAGTGGTCACCAACCAGTGGTCCGCTGACATCGTTAACAGTGCCTTCAATAACCGGTGTTTTAAAAAATTCTTCCTCTGCCAGCCTTCTTTCTGAATCTATGTTTAGCAACCTGAAGTTTTTCTATCTGTTCCCACCACGAGTTTCCCTCCCACATCTGTCAGTCCTGACTACAATCAGAAACCTGGGGACATGTATCTGTGGGGCCAAGGCAGAGCCACGAAGAGGCAACCACGGGGAGTGGTAGTGATAATCAGTGGCGTGTCAACAAGACCCAGCGCACCGTGGTAAGATGCCTAAACAGTGGGGAACCCGATTGCTCCCCTTGAAGCACGAAAGCCAAGGCGCTCGGGCCACCCTCTAAACCCATCCTCTCCCAGCCTCCCCTTGCCCACTGGGCTCCACACACTGGCCTCCTTGCTGCTCCCACATCGCATCGAGCTCACTGGGTGCACAGTCTACGTCCTGTTCTCTCCCATCCTGGACAGGATGGCTCCTATCGCCCCATCTGTGTTTCCGCTCAACCGCCATCTCAGAGAGGCCTTCGCTAACTGCCCTTCCTCACGACGGTATCCCCCCCACCCACTACCATCCCTGCCATTCTGATTCCACTTGCCCTACTTTGTTTCTCTTCACAGCACTTAGCACCACCTGCAAATATATTATTTACGTGTTGGTTGTCTGTCTCTTCTACGGAAATGTCAACTCCACGGAGGCAAAGGCTTTGTTTTGCCCACTGATCTATCTCTCATGCCTACGTGAGTGCTATGCACAGAGCAGGTGTGCAGTAAACACTTGTTGGATGGTTGGATGGATGGAAATCTATAAGCATGAGCAAATAAAGGCATACACGTATAAAGGCTCTCAAGCAGAGTCATGTGTCCATCGTACGATGTGTCACGAAGAAACGCATGCTTCAGCAAACCCTGAGGGCAAAATGTATCATGAGCGGAGAGCCTTCCCACCCGTGACTTGAGTGGGGTACAGAAACTAAGCACCTTCGAACCAGGAGAGGAAGAAGAAAAGCCCTTTAAGATGTTGAAATCGCACCTTGAACAGGTAGAAATAAACTTGTTTGGTGTCTGCATCCTCTTCCTTATGCACACAGGTAAAGAGATACTCCACATCCAACACTATTCCCAGGAGTCTGTTCATTTCTTCCTCCGACACATTCTCCAAGTGGGAAACGTGAGCAGCTTAAGACAAAGATCAAAGGAACATTTGTGATAAGTTAGTTGGAAATTGCAAACAATCTTAACTTCAAAACGAAAGGTCCTGTGTCCCACGAACCTTTCAGGACACCAGTCCATTAGACTGCATGGTGAGGGGAGGATATTTCTGAACCCCGTAAGACCTAAGTCTTATCACAAAAATGACTTGTAATTAAGAGACTGCCACCGTGTTGAGCCTGGCTGTTTTCTAAGTCTGGTCATGATGGTGCTAAATTCTTACATATTTCCATATAAGCAAATTATCCACCATATCAAGAGGGTTCTGTGGTCCTAGAAGTGAATCCAGGATTTGGGGGGTCTATAGTTGAAGGTGATTAAAACTACATTCCCTGAGCCAAAACCAGATTGGCTTAGTGGAGAGAGCATCGGCCTGCAGACTGAAAGGTCCCAAATTCGATTCCAGTTAAGGGCATGTACCTTGGTTGCAGGCACAACCCCAGTAGGGAGGGGTGCACAAGAGGTAGCTGATCGATATTTCTTTTTCATTGATGTTTCTGGCTCTCTATCCCTCTCCTCCCTTCCTCTCTGTAAAAAATCAATAAAATATATTTAAAAACAAAAAACTAAACTCCTGAAATTTTAATTCTAGATTCTGTGAATAGTTAAGTGGGACAAGAATATCATATTAGTGTAAAGACTGAATGAAAGCCTTTTTCTGCAAAAACCGGTTGGGCTCAGTGGTAGAGCATTGGTCTGAGGACTGAAAGGTCCCAGGTTCGATTCCGGTCAAGGGCATGTACCTTGGTTGCGGGCACATCCCCAGTAGGGGCGTGCAAGAGGCAGCTGGTCGATGTTTCTCTCTCATCGATGTTTCTAGCTCTCTATCCCTCTCTCTTCCTCTATGTAAAAAAATCAATAAAATATATTTTTTTTTAAAAAAAGAAAAAAGAAAGAAAGCCTTTTCCCTTAGCCTTTCTGAGACACACTGAAACCTCAGTCTCTGCAGCAAAGTTCCTAATGGAGCTTGAGATTCAATGTCCTCCATGATCAAGACTCCAAAACCACTTTTCCTACCTCCGTTGTACCATCTTACTAGAGTTAAGTGACCTGTTCATTGACCTTCCTCTCTCCCATGCCCATCCTCTTGTCTACCCAAAGGTAACCCATTTTTCAAGGTTATCTTATTTAATCCTCAATCCCATAAAGTAGGTTATCAGTAATCCCATTTTACAGCTGAGGAAACTGAGGCTCAGAGAGACTGAAGATGTTTCATCCAATGTCACTCAGCCAATAAGGAAGAACCAGGGTCTAAAAGGGAAGAATGTTGAACCCAAATTCTAAAGCACCCACAAATTTTTTATGATTTGTTGATTCACTTTAAGTCCTTTTACACTTGAAAAGGCCATCTAGATAAGCCATCCAATACTCACCCACTTCCAGTTCCTGTGGTCCAGGATCATGTCTCTCATTTCTGTGTCCCCAATACCTATCACTATGCTTGTCCCTTAATGGGCATGGTCCTCTCGGGTGTTTCTCTCGGTGTGCTGGTTTAAAATGCTTAGACATACGCCCTGGCTAGTGAGTGTTTCTAATGGTTAGAGCATCAGCCCAAGCACCAAAGAGTCTCTGGTTTTATTCCAGGTCAAAAGCGCATACCTTGGTTGCAGGTTCATTCTCAGCCCCCAATGGGGCATGTGCAAGAGGCAACCAATCAATGTATCTCTCACATTAATATCTCTCTCTCTCTCTCTCTCTCTCTCTCTCTCTCTCAAACCTTTCATTAAACCTCAATCTCAATCAGGAGCCTGGGATAGAAAAACGCCTGGAGTGCCCTACCCATAATCCCTTCCCTACTACTCCAGAGCACACCTCCTGGCTTCCCGTCCCTGTACTGGTAATCAGCTCTGCCACCCCCTTGCCCCTCGAGAGCAGCCTTCAACCAAGACTAGAAAAGTTAGAGTATAAACTGCCCTCCCTCAACCCTCAGATGAAATCACTGTGAGGTAACCGTTCTACACTGGCTTCCACATTTCCCCCCAGATTTAAGCACCGGCTGCCCACAGTGAGCGCTGGCTTAATAACTCACCCTTTTGTGGCCACCTTATTCCCCCCCTTTCCCCCGTCTCACTTCTCCACTCCCTAACTTCATCCCAAATATACTATTTGCACACAAATTCTTGTCTTGCAGTCTACTTCTGCAAGAACTCGAACTAAGATATCTGATCAAAAGCAACTTTAGAGAGTGAGGAGGATTAAATACCCAAGAGAGTAGGCCTTCAAAGGTCCATGAAGATTAATGAGGTTAAAATGACACGGGCAGAGGCCACCCAACTTAAATTCCTTCCTAATGGGGAAGAGTAATGGGAAGGTAGAGTGATGGGCCCAAAGTCACAGGCCATTGCTAATGAGTGTGCATGCGCACACACCTTCGCGTACATGGATATGCACCTGCATAGAGCATTTTTTGAAGGGAAGAGGGAGGAGGGAAATGTTGGTGATCTGTCTGCCTAGGATATTGCAGAGAAACTCTAATAATACATCTAAACCTGAAAATCCCAACAACCTATCATTACATCATCAAACAGAACAGGAATAACAGACTGACGTGTTTCTAAAAACATAAATAATTGACATCATGGAAAAATTATAAATAGATATGTGTGCAAACACGAAAACTACTATTAAAACCTATTTGTTTACACTTGGCTATGCAATATGTGGCTTCCTCGCTTTCTAGGGAGGCCCAAAATTAGACTTCATTTTTAAGTAGTGCGTTTATTTGCCAGGTCATTCTTTTCTGAAGACTGCAAAATTTCCCTTGAGGTCAGCCTGAAGCTTCTGGGACACAGGCCTCATTCTGAAGACAAGTAGGTCAAGATTTCTATGTCAGTTATTTACAGAATTAACTTTATTTGAAACTAATTTTTTACCTTGCAATGTTTTCATCTCTTTCCAGTGATAAGCTATAAAAGCAAACAGCCTGCAACGTAACATAAATTCCTTCAGGTTCTCCATGTTATAAGACACTCTAAGATGCCAACACCTAGTGAGTTTAACTCATGGAAGAATGTGCCATGACTCTTTGTTAAAACCAGTGGCTCACTGAACACTTTACCAAACGAATTCTTAGTCAGAATTTTAAAGAGCTAGACACTCCTATTTTCAGAAGGCTGGGGATGTGGAGAGGAAGAGCATCCCCATTCCTTGTTGGATTCCATGGTTTGAGAAACCAGTTCAGAACCACCTTCTTACATATTTTGAAGAGGAGAGGAGAGAAAAGTTAAAATGCTGAAGTGAGACCTGCGGAGGTTCGCTCCCCTCTGACTCTGCTAAGGAGGAACTCCAGGACCGCTCCTCACATCTCTGAGGGGGAGGAAGTGAAAAGGAAACAGCAAGTTTCCCAGGAGGAAGGCTCGACTGGACAAATGAGGGCAACTTTACAGCAGAGATGGTATCTCTTCCTCTGAGAATGAAGGAAAAGTGGGCGGGGCTGATAGGGCGTGTCCTGAGGCAGAAGGATGACACTATATGGAAAGGGGTAAGCTTCCTTAGGATGAATGATGGGGTGAGGAAAGATCAGAGGGAAGTAGAGGGAGCAAACCATCTGCTTAAGAAGGAAAAAATTAGGTTGACAAGTTCCTCTGAAAGAGAAGATTCCCTCTGCTAAGAAAGCCAGATAAGGCCCGTTATGACCACACTGTAAATACTTAAGTCTTCTGGCTGTCACACTCCCAGATTCTCGTTCTTGGGTTCCTTTGACCAAGACTCTTTTTCAGCCTCTGAGCATCCAACTCTCAGTGTTTTCCTCTCACCGAATCCGCATCACCAGCTAACTTCTCCTCAAGCTCAGATCTTCAACACGCCTCACCTCATAGTCTTCTCATCCCAACACGGCGAGTGAGTGAACCGCCATCGTGGCAAACCTGGCTCAAGGAGTAAAAGCCTCATGGCCCTCCTCTAAATGGGGACTCCCTCTTGCCAGCCCTGTTTCTGCCAAGGAGCCTGTCATTCATTCATTCCTTCATGGTCCTTCACCTCCCACATATGATCTACCAGTCACCAGATTCAGGTGAGCTTCCTCGTTCTCTCAGTCATTACTTTTCCCCACTCCTACCTCTGTGGCCATTGGGACCTCAAGTTCACAGAAGCAAAATAGTCTCTAGACTGTCCTCTCTGCTATCATATCCCTCAAAACAACCCCATCTTTCCCAAAGCTGAAGACTGCCCCTGACTCTTTGAGGGTGCTGACCAGAATTAAGATAGGACTTACTCAGGAGCCCACAACCAACCTCAACCCATGCCAACACCCAGGTGCACTTCACTTTACCTGTAAACTACTATTTATTTTCCTGAAAAATCAACTCATATTTAACAAACAAACAAACAAACAAACAAAAATCACTCATTAGTGAAAGAAATCCTTCTCTTAGTCTTTTCTAAAGAATCCTTTTGGATGCAAATAGGTTCCCTTCAATGATCTAAAAGCATGTTTTGAAAATGCCTCAAAATGTTCCTCTGGCATGTTAATTATTTTGAACTGAAGGGAGTCAAGAACCTGAGACTCATGAGAAAATGTTACCTCTCCCTGAAAGAATTTCAATTAGGGGCCTTGCCCATAATAAGAATTATCACCAGAAATAACTGTGTTGACCAATCTATATGGCAGGACAAACTACTTATTACTGAACATCTGTTAACAACTGCAGTGATCTTCCTCCCCTCTGAAGCCCCAAAGTGCCTTACCTCATCCTTAGCCCAAAACATCATATAAACTAGTACCTCATTTCAACTCTGTCTTGGAACCCCCCATGTATGTGGGATTCCCATGTGTATGTATGTAATTAAATTTGGTTATATTCTCTTGTTAATTTGTCTCACATCAATTTAAGTATCAGACCAGCCAAAAGAACCTAGGAGGCTAAAGTTTCTTCCTCTTCTACACAAGTTTGGGGGCATTATTAAAATAAAATAAAGTGAAATAAAAACTGGTAAACTACAATGCACAAATCTATAGCAGTTAATCT